TGTGTGTGTGTGTGTGTGTGTGTGTGTGTGTGTGTGGAAATTGAAAGTGCAAGGAGGGCATGGATGTTTTGGGAAAACAGCATCTGGTGCAGATGGAGTGAAGTTGCTGATGTTCAGTGAGTTCATTTCCTGGACCATGTTCCATTGCCAATTCAAGGCTATGGTGAGGCAGAACAAATGGACACTCTAAGAGAAAGCCACATACCTAGTCACCATCCTAGGGGGCCAAGCTGCCAGAATTCTACACAGTGTCCCTGTAGAAGTGATGTACAGGGATATTATTGGGGTGCTTGAGGGTCACTACAGGGATCACCAACTGGGTGTGACAATGTTCCCAGCTAAAGAGCAGGACCCAGGCAACCTGCAAGTCTCTGCAGGAGTCTGCCACTGCCACTGAGCAGTTGGATGTATTTATTTGTAGATTGTAAAGGATAATGTAAGTGTTGTAATTATCTATAGTTAATAGAAATAAAAGTACAATTAATTTAATTATTAAAGTGAACCATGTTCATATAACAAGTCTCACCAAAAGAAACGTGAATAAAACTGCAGATTAATCTTGTAATCTTGTATGATACAGGGCATTCAGTCATCGAGGAAACTGGGGGATCAGCATGAGTTGGATACAACATTTCTCACAGATTGCTGCTGTAACTACTGATAGTGGAATGAGTCATCAGCACTGATAAACACGCACACACTCGCTAGCATAGAGTGGATGGATCGTTTCTCTGCAACTACTGTGCTCTTCCCCGCTAGCGAGAGTGCGGTCATGTCACTGATTCCCTCGCATCAGTTTTTGTACATGCACACATTTATAGGAATACTGTAAAAAGATAACATACTGGGCTTTATAACAGGTTTTGGAAGTGACTTCCTGTTTGCAAACATGCCTCGCATTTCAAAAATAAATTATGCAACACTTTCTGAAGTTGGACCATGGCAATTGAACTAATTACGCTTGTAAAATCCTCATGCTATACAGCAAGTGTCATTACATAGTGAAAAGGTGGGGGTGTGCTGTGCTGTGCTGTGCTGTGCTGTGCTGTGCTGTAAGTCCGCGCCGATTCATTGGCCCCTTATTTTTTCATGAAACTGTGAACTCTGACTGCTATGTTAATGATATACTGAATCTGTTCTTCAAGCAGTTGACTGCTGAAGAAAAACAATATGGGTATTTTCAGCAAGACAGTGCTACAGCACATATGGCTAATGCATCCATGGTTGCAATACAGGAAGTGTTTGAAGTCAAAGTAATCAGCAGGAGACTGTGGCCTCCCAGATCTCAGTTTTTGCGATTTTTATCTTTGGGGAAACCTAAAGGGAAAAATCTACAAGAATAATCCTCACACCACTGAAAGTCTGTAGAATGAAATAACATGTAATTAGTTCAGTTGCCATGGACCAACTTCAGAAAGTGTTGCATAATTTATTTATGTGACATGAGGCATGTTTGCAAGCAGAAAGGGGTCACTTTCAACACCTGTTATCCTTTTTCAGTATTCCTATAAATGTGTGCATGTGCAGAAACTGATGTGAGTGAATCAGCGACATGACAGCACTCTCGCTAGCAGCAAAGGGCACAGTTGTCACAGAGAAACGATCCATCTGCTCCATGCTGGGAGAGTGTGCGCATTTATCAGCACTGATGACTCATTTTGCTATCGGCAATTACAGCAGCAATCTGTGAGAAATGTTGAATCTGACCCACCCTGCTCCCTCGTTTTCCTCGATGGTTGAACGCACTGTAGTTTTGCAATAATTTTTGCATGTAATATAGTAATGTTCTTTTTCTCAACTAATGATGTCCAGAACATGTTATGAAAATGGAAATAGATGGATGATAATATATGATTCAATGAGTTGTATTTGTTATGAATAAGTGACTTAGTATAATATACAGTAATATAGAATTCAGCTTTTAAGGATGTAAATATCACCTCTTCCAATGTTAAGTACTGTGAATTTTGAAGAGGGTAAAAAAATACATTTGATTTCCATGAATGACAACATTGAGCTTTAATGGGGAATTTGAAAGACTGATTTTCATTCACAGAATGGTACATTTACAAAATTAATTTATCATGTACAGTTAGGATGTGTGTTCATGTATCAGGTCATGATAGAACCACAGGACGTGTTGGAGGTCCAACAACTGGCTGTGATATAAAGTTAGTTGACTGGGAAGAAGGAAATTACAGAGTGACCGATAAGCCATTTCCTCGAGGAGAGATTATTATTGGTGGGGATAACATCTCTCCAGGTTACTATAAAATGCCAGAAAGAACGAAAGAAGAATTCTTTGAAGAAGGAGGAAGACGGTGGTTCAAAACTGGGGATATTGGCGAATTCCATGCAGATGGAGTTATGAAAATCATTGGTAAGTGGAATGAAATATTCATATTGTATTTGTATGACTTTAAGACTAAATCCTACCTACACCTTTATTATGTGCTGTAACTAAAGATGTAAGGGAGGAAGAAATTCATATATCCTGAATGGATTATCTTTTTCTGAAGTAAAAATAAAATCTTGGAAGGGTGAAATACTAGTTAAATATGAATATTTAAAAATGGACCAGTTCAGAATTGACATGATAAATTCTTCATGCTCATAACAGTTCTCCTTCACTAGTGGGGCAATGAGAGAGATGGAAAGTTCTCTTGTGTAAGCATAACAGTTCACATTTCTGGATGATAGTTGATTAAAATGACACATGTATAACCATGCCACAGGCCATTTTTCCTGAGTTACCACCTCACTCCAAAAAAAATATTATAAACTCCAGGGAGCTGAGTCCTTCTTGAGAAGCCACCAGTTTGCTCAGCTGCTCAAGAATTTCACAACATTTTGTGGGATGCAAAATTCCATTACTGTCTTCACAAAAACCAGCCACAGGTCCATATCCTGAGTCAGATGGATCCAGTCCATTCCACCCCATCCTGTTTCTCTAAGACCCACTCTAATATTATCCTTCCACCTACATCTGGGTCTTCCTAGTGGTCTAGTTCCATACAGGTATTGACTCAGCAAATTTTGTATATTCACTTTGTCAGCATACATCTGATTCTCAGTCATAAAGATAAAATGTAAACAAAATTAAATTAATAAATGGAGAATGTGGTATGATTATGTGTGGGGCCCAAACCTTCAGCTACACTCTAGCCCCCAGAAATTTCTCTGTGCTAGCGACCATAAATATCAATTTAAGTGTATGGAGTTTGTAACAGGCAACATATTCATATGACAGCAAATATGTTAAACTGCTGATGAAAATATCAAATTCTTTGGCCTCCCCCCATTTTTTTCATGGACATTTAGTGTGCCCATGCAGAAAAATCTGCACTGAAATTTAAGGAATTGTTTTTGTTCATTGTGGCTATAACACCTCTTGTGCACCTGTGCTTATGTGCGAGTGCATGCAAGTGAGAGAGAGAAACTGACTGACCTTTAGAACATGTTCTAATACCATGGTTACTATGAAAGTATGTAAAGTTTTCTTGCTTGCTTACTGTTGTACTGTTGTCACAGGCCTAATGCTTTACTTACCAGGCAAAGCATAAGGAAAGAAACTCTCTTGGACTTGCACCTATACATGTAACAGCACAAATAACTGTTTTCAGAGCTTTTCTTCTTAAAATAAAAGCTTTTATATTTGCATAAATCTACTTTAATCATAATTTTCTGAGACACAGCATTATGGATGGATACTGTGAATAATACTCATACCTCATTCCTCTTCTGTTGTGTTCATCACAAGTGTGTTTCTTCCCAAAGTTGTATCAGTGCCAGATGTTACATAAGGTTGAAAATGTGATGGTATTTGAAAATCTGGAGAGACAATGAACTGGTCATGGCACATTTTAATTATAGTCTTGAAGGCTAGAGAAATTTAAAACCATGAAAATCCTGTAAGGAAGTGTGGTCCCTTAGCCAGGTGCATCTCATAAATTAATGAGGAAATAACTGGAACAAAATATGCTGACTATAAAGTGTAAAGTTCCTGTGCAATCGGCAGTGTGAATAATCAAAAACTTAAACCATTAACCTGTAATTGTGATTGCTATTAAGTGCAAGTTATTCTTTTGTCACCAGACCGCAAGAAAGATCTGGTGAAGTTGCAGCTGGGCGAGTATGTCTCACTAGGGAAGGTGGAAGCAGAGTTGAAAACTTGCCCAATAGTGGAGAATATCTGTGTGTATGGAGATGCAACAAAGCATTACACAGTGGCATTGATTGTGCCAAACCCCTCTCATTTGATCACCCTGGGAAATAGGTTGGGCTTAAACTCCCTGAACTTTGAGCAGCTGTGTGTGAACCAAACTGTTGAGAAGACTGTGCTTCAAGAAATTGAGGAACATGGGAAAAAATGTAAGTTTTTTATTTGAAACAATGAGAAATTATAGTCGGCATCATTTCATCATTTGTAATATAAGTGCACTTGCACAAACTACAAGATACTTTTCTAGTTTATTTTTGTACGGATTACCGTAATATATTTGCCTAATTGGAAATTTTCCCCCCGCATTTTCTGCATCTCAATAGCATCAACCCGCTAAAAACTTTAAAGTTATTAAAATGTCAGTATATTTTCTGCATTTTAATTCAAGGCAACACTTCATTTAGCTCTGAAAATAACCACAGTGGTGGTTATCTTCTGGGATATAATGCCATGTAGTCTTTCAATGGCCTACACAGTGTTATATCCCAGAAGATAGTCTTCAGACAGAATTATGTTACATGGTTAAGAGCCATGAGCTACAGCACATCATGTTGTCAACCTTGAGACAAGGCCAGCATGGCCCTTATTGCTGCCCCAGGGGATGGGGATGAGAAGTATAGTGCCACCACTGCTCCCTGCAATTAAATCCAGTCAAAAGCATCTCAACATTCTCATAACACTGTCATAATATCATGAAATTCCCAGACAGGACTGGCAAAAGCCTAAATACCATACCAGGAAACAGTTCTACTGTCCCAGTCCTCTTCAAATAAAAACATGTCAGCTTTCCCAAAAGTTAATGGCAGTTCATAATGCTGAATTTCCAGGCACTGGAAGTCCTCCCCTTCTCCAATGGAATAGTTCTGGCCTGCTTCCATTTTAGAATTAATCTGAAAACTATGAATCGTACAGACACTTGGTAGAACTCGTTGGATGGGGGATCAGCATGTTGCAAGGCTACTACACAGAACAGAAACACATGAACCTTAAATATGGATTGTAATGGTCATGTTACCACGTTGAATGTACATGTTTAACTATGGCTGTGAAACGTTGAATTATCATTTATCCCAGCATTTTGATGATGTTCATGGAATTGGTTTATTCTCTCTATTCAGGCAAACTGGAAAAATTTGAAATTCCTGCTGCTGTGAAACTGTGTGCAGAAGTGTGGTCACCAGACATGGGACTAGTTACAGCTGCATTCAAGCTGAAGAGGAAGGACATACAAGACAGATACCAGCATGAGATAAATCGCATGTATGCCTCATGATCTTGGAACTGACTCTTCAGCATGTGTGCAGAAACGGTGGATAATCCATTCAGAAGCATTTCTCACAGTATTTGATGATCATGGCCAGAAGAATTCGGAGCTCTTGTTTGATCAGACTGTGGGGTCATTTGGCAGGCTGTGGTCCTACATTAAACCTGTATTAGTTTTGAGTATATTTATATAATTCGTTTCTCCCCAGTTGATATAATTTTGCTGAGGTAAAACATTTGTGAAACCAAAGTTTGGAGGGTATTATATCATTTCTTTGCATCATACCGAAGCTGGTACTGGTATTTTGAAGTTCTATGCAAAACTGTTTTTCCCATGTGTTGCACCACAAGATTTTCTATTATAAGTGTAACATTTTCTGTAGTTTTCTGAAAGTGAGGAAGTCAAGTCAGGTTGCAGGTTGGCATGCTTCTCTTCTCAGGATGGTGCACAGGCTGTAAAGTTGTATTGGTCAGTTTGTATAGTTTCCTGAATTGCTCATGCTATGCATGAAACAACAGTTACTGTGGTGAAGGTAAGTGCTAGTCCATTAGTTTTTCTAGTTTAGATACATGAAACCTAGCTACATTAACATGGCTTTGTTTGAATTACACCGCATTAACATCACAGTCATCTTAGATTACATTACAATGTACTAATATGTGATAATCTATTTTTGTATGTACCTTTATTCTATTTGGTTTGTGTAAAGATCACTTAGCTGCTTATGTGTGTTTGAAATTAAAACTTCACAACTTGGTAATAAGTGTATTGAATACACTAGACGATTTATGTACATATATTGTTTGGGCTAAAGTTTGGAGCTTGCCTGTACATAATTCATGTTGATTGTGTTTTGTTTTGTTTTTTGCCCAATTGACTTGGAAAATACAGTAATATGTCTCATAATGTACAGAACGTTTGTTCATTTAAGCTAGATGGATTCTTATCACTGTGATCTTGTTAACACTTTCAGTTCCAGGAACTCAGCTGCTGGCTTACCTCCCAGCCAAACCATTTTTACTCATTGTAAACACTTTAAAAACATGTGGTAAGAAAATTAATAGCAGATTAACTGCATATGTTTAAGGAAGTGCTGTAAGCACCATCTGGTGACAGAATGTGCTCAAAGTACATTCTGAGAGTTGTGTTTTTTTTTTTTTTGCCACAGTGTGTTACTGTCCAACATAGGTTGGATATGGTAGTCTGGACAAACATCATTAAACAACCAAATGATGATAACAAGAGTTGGTGTTATATTTGCCTTTCATTGTGATGAATACATATTGGTAGAACTCTGAAATATGTTGAACTGCAGTGAGGAACACTTCAAAGATTGACTGTGTGTATGTTGTATGTATGTATGCATGCATGCATTGCATTTGTATGATACTTATCTTTTATAAGAAATATCTTTTATCCACAATATCAAAATTCATATCTTGTATGCACTTTGCCAGTGAATTAATTTAAGCTGCAATAAGGTTCACGGTTGACGAGGACTTGATGCATCTATTTATACAAGTCTTGTATTATGTACAATGTATGTGCAATAAATTCAAGGATTAATTCAGTTAAACAGTAGTTTGAACCATAGCTGAACAGTTGCTCATAATGCAGCACGGAGTAGTAGGAAGATGTTTTCTTCACAGCTCACCAAAGCATCGATACTTTCATTCCTACTGTTGGATAGCATTCTACAGTTTCAAGAACTTAATGTGAAGAAATGCAGGCTGCAGTTTCACAGCTGAAAGAGGACAAGTTGAGGGAAAGCTCTTTGCATTCTTTGATCCTTTATCTCCTTCAGTGTAAGACTTTTTTACTGGGAACTCTACGATTAATTAAACTGTATGACAAATTCATTATTTTTTGTTTGATTAGTAAGATTATTATTCATAATCAGTTTGATTCAGTCTCCTGTGTAAAATCCAATTTCATGTGTTTTTTTTTTTTAATATAATGTCAATGATATCTGTATGCCTTATCCTCCTAATAACCCATGACCAGTGGAGTGCCTTGAACTTCATATGAACATAATGCCACCATGCCATCTGATATTGGCCAGGCAAATGCCTGAGGTGGAAGTAATTTTAGCAAAAATACATAACTTTGTTTTGTAGAATATGATCATGTGAACCTTGTGAATTTTGTTTACTTAGAGGTGAATTTCCAGTTTTTAGATCTTGCCAGAACAGAAAGGAGCATCTTTTCAAGACTATTCAGCAACAAATAATGTCCCTAACAAAATTTTGATTTTTTATTACCTTTCTTAAATTAAAGTATTCAACAAATGTTGTTCAAACATCGATTCAGAATGTCTGAAGTTGAACACCTACTTGAATTGTAAAACAATTTAAACTGTTCTCTTTGACTACGACAAGAAGTAGTAAAATTACATACTTACAAGGCACATGTTGAAATTGAATGCTAAGTGTAGGAACTATAAATTAAAATATTTTAATGCCTGTGTATAACACAGTCTGTCAATAATGCAACAAATTGTTCCTTTTTCTTCCACTTCCATTTTTAACACAACATGATTTTATTCTTTGGTGTTTTTCTTTTTTTTTTTTGGTAAGTTTAGAAGACAAATTTCTTACGTATGGATGGATATGAAGACTGAACATTTTTATTTTTTTAAACGACAGTGGAGACAATGATAAACATTTTATTTCTGACCCACAGTTTCGAAAATAAAATTCTGTGGAGTATTATTAAGCACATGTATTTAGTGCCTGCTAAATAATCTTAATATCTATGTAACAAGCAGATAAAAATGTTTGTTGCATTCCATTTTCTGATTAAAATTTCTCTGTGACATGTTTATGTTCCAGATCCCTTTCGCAATTAGAAGTCTTAGAATGACAATCACATTTTCACTTCACAATTTTCCTTTTTTGACTTAGAACTTGGCATGTCAGAACATGATAAACAAGGTTTGGGATATATTTTGAAGCACACTTTACTAACCCTTTCAAAACTGCAATTCTTCTTCTATAAAGTACTTGCTAAACGAAATATTTGTTGTAAGTGCTCTGAAGATGGAGGCGATACGTTCCTCCGATACGTCGGCCAAAACGAAGAATACACGGCGCCTAAACCCAGAAGATGACTTTCTTCGAAATATTTGTTGTTTACAAATTTGCTTTAATTAAAAAAAGCTTGAGAGACTAAAAATTTGAGATAATTTCATTTTAATGTACTTTGATCCTTGTTTCCTCTGTGTCAGCATGAAAATTTTTGTGCAGACAGAAAGTAAATTTCAAACTGCATTTGTAGTACTTAAAGGATAAATGAACCTCAGATTGTGGTATATAATGTAAGGAAATATATCACAGTAAAACCATACAGAAATGTGTTACTAGTAGCAAGAATTAGGCCTGTCCCATCCTGAGTGAACTGATACGTTTTATTAGGGGTCATTATTACCAGTGCACTGTTTTAATTAAATTAAACATGAGTACCATCTAGTGCAATAACTTGACTATATAATCATGAAGCCTGACATGTTTCAGGCATGTATGGTCATTGCCAGAGGTGTACAGCTGTAAAAGGATACTTCACATAATTTTACACAATTGTAAAATAGATATAGGCATAAAATACTATTAATATTACAGTTATAAGGGGCCAGTGATAAAGTAAAATCATATTTTATGTGGCACAATGTAGAAAACTGTGCAGTGTTGGTAAGCATTCATATATGTCCATGAACAAGTCTAATATTACTCTTCCTGTCTGTTTCAAATTCATTTGTGGGAACATCCCACATACTATCACGCTGTTTCGCCAATCAATGGACAACACTCACTCCTAAGTCAATAGCATATTGCTGCACATTACTGTCAGCTCTCATGTTTATACAGCACCCGATGTCCAACCCACTTGCAGATCATCACATGTGCTAACCAATCACATTGCTGGCAGCACTCATATTTAAACAGTGCTTGATGTCCAGCTCACATTTAGATCATAATGTGCACTAGCCAATCAGCGCTCACAATCGCAACTGCAAGTTTCGCTCCTCCATCAAGCATGGTATAAAAGCCAGAGCCCAAAGCTTGCAATCATCAGTGATAACATCAGCCAGTCAGCCATCACATTTAGTCCAGAGCGATCGGTCTTCGGAGTCATCGGCTCTTCACTGCATCAGGGACAGCTGCCTCGGCTCTCAGGCGGTCATGCCCAACACACCAGGCAACTGGCACAGCTGCCACCACTCCAGCGATCGCGCTCTGTGACCAGATGTCTTCCAGCAACCACGCTCTGCGACCAGGCAACTTCCGGCAACTGCCGCACTAGCCAACATCTATTTCTACCGGCGCACGCAGTCCTACATCACCGGCCAGACAGCCCAGCCAAATGGCGATGAAACTATCTACTGCAGTGGAACAAACGGCCCTTTTCAGGGCCCACAAACTTTCTGAAGTGGTTGTCTATTGGTGTATCGACAAATCCCACACATTAATTCTGTTTCACAGATATTCTAATTTTTGTTCCACAGCTTATTGTCCATGTTCCCATTCATTTGGGTTATGGATCATGGGAACCTAGAGTTCTTTGTACAGTCCAATAATTTTTAATGTTCTGCATCAAAATATGCTGCTTCAGCTCTTACTTATTTAGATTCTTTGGCTGAAATGCTGACATTTTCTATTCTTTAGTGAGCCCTGTTGAAAACATTTGCATTTAAACTTCATAAGCCTGCGAACCTCTTTTTTGATTTTAACCTGATATTCTTTATAACTTCCATACTTTCTTGACTGAATCCCTTAATGTCTAACTTTTAATTGCTTGCTTCCTTAGCTAATAATCTCTCCCAAGCATTTCCAGCTGTTTCAGAGTGATTTACAGCCAGTTCTTTAAAATCTGATATTAAGTACATGTAAATGTCATTGCTTATCAATTAAGACAAATTTCATTGTCTTGTGGCCTCAGACATCATGTAAAAAAAAAAAAAGAAGCTATCCCTGTAACAGGCCATGAAGGCCCATAGGGTTGTGAGACGTTGAGAGTCCCACATTATCTAGACAATCGGCTCAAAGATGGCGGTAAGGTTGTCAGCCTTAGGTGCCGGCCACGCTTTACTCCCCAGGAAAATTATTCATTTAATTCCTAGAACTCATTTCTGTTAGAGGCCGGAAGGATTGGGTCAATTGAAAAAAATCAATGACCTCATCGGTATTTGAATCCGCAACCTTCCGACTTGTAGCATAGTGCCTTAACCACTACGCTACCATATGCCCTACATAATTTAACCGTCTTAGAGGATTTAGGATCCATAATTCTTGAACAATTCAACTTTATATGTTAAAATTTGCAATGCTTTCCTCTTCGATTTCGATTATTTCCCAGAAATCCCGCCCCCATTCCCCTTGCATAAACGAACAAAGCACTGTGTATGCCTGTACTAAAGAATTTGGTCATCACCTGCGACCCGAATTGAGCGGTACTCGTAAGTACGTTTTAGCTTTTTCAAGTATTAAGTAATTTCTAACCTCTTTGACTCCAATGCATTTTGAATTTTTTTTTATTGCTAGTGGGGTGGGACGAAGTCCCTTGTACTGTGGCCACTTCTGGCCTATTGTACCAGCCCTAGATTATAGATGAGGGTGATTGTGGAGCAATTGGTGGAATGAAGATTTGTAGGGGAAGCCGAAGTACTCTGAGATAACCTGCCCCAGCGCCGCTTTGTCCACCACAAATCCCACGTGACCAGACCCCGGGATCGAACCCGGGCCGCGGCGGTGGGAAGCCAGCGACTAACCGCTTGACTATGGCGCAGCCTTGCATTTGGAATTACTTGTAACACGGTTACGTTCTGTATTGTGAAGTTCTGTAGTTTGGTATATATCGACCAAACTAATCGGTGTTACATGCCAGAAGACCATAATTGTAAGCAACATACCATAATCTTTAATACTTGTAGCAGTAACAGGTAAAGTTGACCCTGTGCTAGGTAATTAAGCACATTAAACACTACGCCTTGAACGCCTTGAAGGTCTTGAAGACGTATGAGGGAGTGGATGTATAGATCCACATTTCCTCATAGCAGTTCGCAGAGAAAGTGAAAGTATTTTAATGTCCTTGGAATGTTTGATGGACATTCTGAGTATATTGGCAACATTGCTTTTGGAGGACGGTGAAGTCGTATGAAGAATGTTAAAGTTTGAGCGGGAGATTGATAGGCGCGGTGTAATAAATGCAGTGAAGAAAGGTACAATATGATGTTAAGTTCTAATCAAAATTTGTTACGTCTTAAGTTCATAACATTGGAGTGGAATTAATGGACTTTGTGGTATAGTGGCAACAGTTTGAAGTTTCAAATCGTATGTGGCGTTCGAATTTGCAAACTTATAGGCCCCGAATTGCTTTTCTAATGTTACACTTTATTTCTAATATTATACATATCAAAGGACATGATAAGGACGTAGAGCCACAAAAATCAAATTTATATTCCAACTTAAAATCTTTCTGTTTTCCAGAAGGCTACTATGTTTACTAGTATTAGGTTATTTAATGGATTGCCAAAGACCATTCAAAGTCTTAGAAAGGATAGAATCCGTTTTAAAAATAATTTATTTTCATTTCTCATGAATAACTCATTTTATACAGTTGATAAATGTTTGGAGCATACAGTAAATAATTAGTAACATTGTTTGTTTAACTTTGTATTGTCTTTCTGCTTTGTTTGTTTGTGTTATGCTTGTGACCAGTTTCATGTCGATTGTATTTTGGACTTGTGAAATGTGAAATATATGTATGTAATCGTATAAGGACTCTAGTCCTCATAAATTTGTCAAACGTGTTCCATCAGGTCCAGGCAAAAACATAATTAATTTGGCACCATTGTAAGAACCAGATATGACGTTCAAGGTTACAGATTTACAGTATATTCACAGTTGTGTTAAAATGATGCTTGCAGATGGCCACTAGATGTTTTTGAGTTTATAAAATTTCAAAGACAGCTACCTGAAGAGGTTTCAGTTTTGCTTAACCATTTCATGGTGCAGGCAGTCAAGCATGTTCCAGTTCCATGTACTCACTTTGTAACTGTGAGTTTAGATTACAGTATGGCAGTTATCTTTTAATTCAGAAAGTTGTGTAACACATAACTGGTTTGCAGAATGTCGCATTGGCTTTTCAATGTATGGGTTTCTAGTAAGGACAAATAAAACACAGACGATGTTTGAAACTTTAACCTACAGATGTCCCTAATGGAACTTTATAATCATTCATTAGAAAGAACCATGATCATTGTATATGGATTTCAGTGTTGTTGTGAATAGAAAAGGCTGTGTTGAAAAAGTGGTCTCAAGCTTCAGAACAGATTCCTTCATTTGTATTTGCTGTAGTCATGACAAGATGAATGCAAAGGAAACTGCAATAAGATACTTCAAACGCCTGAAAGGTATGGTACTGCAACCAACTAACTGGCTAAGTAACTTAGTTCAGCAGAGCCTTGAGAAGATAATATTTACCCAACAAGTCAACTTCCATGCCTTTTACAGAACATTCCACTGGATTCTTTTCTCAGTTCAAATTAATCCATCGTTTTCTTTAAGATCCATTTTAATATTATTTATCCCCAGGTCTTCTAAGTTGTCTGTTCCCTTCAGGTTTTTTTGGCCATAATTTTATATTAATTTCTCATCTGTCATATATGTTTCATGTCCCACCCTTTCTCTTTGATTTGATAACTTCCATTAATGTCTGATAAAAAATGCAAATTATGAAGATTCTCATTATCAGGTTTCTCCTGCCATGTTTTACTTCCCCCCTTATAGGTTCAAATGTTTTCTTCAGAACCTTGTTCTTAAACTCCCTCCATATACCTCCTTTAATGAGAAACCAAGTTTCATACCTGTACAGAACAGTTGGTAAAAATATAGCCTTTTATATTTTAATCTTTGTGTTTTTAAATAGGAGACAGGGATGTAATTGATTAGTATAATATGATACACAGGGTGATTCAAAGTCCTATAATGTTTTGCTTAGAAAACATGTACTCTAATATACCAAAACGTGATGCTATAAACATACTAAAAATAACTCATAAATCAATGAAAACTTCCAAAAAGAAACATTACACATATTACAAACGGTGGTGGAACAAAATTACTCTCATTTGCAATTGGTGGTTTCAAAATGTCTTCCCTCCCTACTTTGGCATTGAAATTTAACAAAATTTTCATATGGTGCTTCGGGAATTTATCAAATGCACGTTTTAGTTCTTTGTAGAACCTGTCTTTTATATCATCAATTTTATCTTCTGTTGGTGCATGAATATTCGGAACGATAATATCACACCGTTGGTGTCTCCACCTTATCGTGGTGAGGGTGTTTGAGTATGCCAAGGACCCTGAGAGCTATACCAGCGGTAGCGTAGCTACTGGCAGGGCCTCCCTTGCTGGACAGGTCAAAGGGTAGGCATCAGACGAAGAGAGACACCGAAAACTGATGCCGGAAGCAGCGTCATCAGCGGCGACTTGAAGCACAGAGAAAATGATGCTCGAGATGGTTCAAGTTCGTATAGCAACAGGCGTGACCAGAGTGGTTTGAACGGCTGTTGTACTGCGATGTGGAAAGCAAATGGAAAAACTACCACATTATCACTTTTCCTGGATAGTCTCTTTCCAAAAACAGAAGATCGCATTAAGTGGAGAAACTGTTTTGGAAGAGGCTGTGGACCTGTCATCTGACAGATTACTGATGAATGAATGAATGAATGAATGAATATCACACCAGCGACCTTTTAGTATTATATATGACATCCTATCACTAATTATCTCTACCCTCTTAACTTCTGATATGATTCTCTTATGTACAAGAAAACCTGTACCTAGTTCATGATTTTCATTCCCTTTTCCATAGAAAAATCTATATTCACTTGCTGATTCAGTGCAACCTCCATGCCATCTGACCTCCTGTACTCCCACTAAATCTAACCTATATTTTGAGATTTCTTCCACCACTGCCCTATAGATACTTCTAACATCCCAAGTACCAAATCTCATATCCATTTGTTTCGCTTAGGTCATGTATCCAAAGAATCCTTCCAGGTCCGAGGCTTCTTGCAAATTTTTGTAACAAGCTTATTTGTTTATGGTGAGGAGTTAGCCCCATGCCCAACCCCCAAGCTAGAGGACCACCTCTTTTCGGCTGTCTGTGACTGCTTATTCAATATATTCGCATCTACCCTCCATACCTGGAGGACGTCTCCTCCATCCGCAACCTGAGGACGCACCATGCTGTGGTGACAAGGGATCCACCTAACCTGGCTTCCACTTGCACACATGCACTTAATATCAAAGTTGAAGGGAGCCCTTGACAGGAACTGCTAATGTTTATCACAGCTAGCAGGATGTGACCAGGCTATGAAAATTTTTTTGATGACTTGTTTCACTGAGACTGCAGTGTACCATTGCAGGCACATGTCTGTTGGATTGCCTCCAATCTGGATATCGATTAGGGTATTCCCATAGTGCAGATGTTTGGGATCTGACATTAAAGTTCGTGAACTCACCACCATGTGCTTGCCATGGACAGAAACCTCAGTATGGTTTGATGACGTTAGCATATCAATGTTGCACAGCTGTGTTGTTGTTGATCTATGGCAGTCTCTTTCTGAGTGGTGTCTATTATTGTCTGAGTGTATTTTGGTGTGCCATCTTGAGAATGTTGGAGCTTTAATTAGAGCAATAAATGAACATTAAATTCCTTGTTAAACTTAGCAAAAATAGAAGCGAAATCAGAGAGATATTAGTGCAAGAAAACAGCACTTTACAAGTGGGTGACCTGTATTCCTGAGGGAAGATAGAGTGCCACTGACGAAGAGAGATCAGGACAGCAGGCAGTTAGCAGAACTGAAGAAAACACTGCAAAAGTTCACCAAATTATGTGTTAAAATCGTTGGCTGACTGTCAGAAGCATAGCAAAGCAAACAAACATCGACAGAAACGGGAAAATCTTAACTGAAGATCTTGACATGAGGAAGATGTGTGCAAAAATGGTCCTAAAGGAGCTCACAAGGAACAAGAGCAAAGAAGAGTCAAAATTTGTCAAGACCATTTGGAGAGGCAAGATGACATTTTGGGCTGTTTCATCACAGGTGATGAAACATGGGTCTACCAATACGACCCTGAAACAAAGCACCAAAGTGCACAGTGGAAGGCTGCCAATTCTCCATGACCAAAAAAGTTCCGTCGGTCCAAATCAAGAGTGAAAACAATGTTGCCAACTTATTCTGATATTAGAGGGATTGTTTATTGTTTGTTTGTACCAACTGGACAGTCAGCCAAGTTTACTGTTTGGAAGTACTCAAAAGGCTATGTGGAAAATTTAGGCAGAAACAACCAGAACATTTTTCCGACAACTCATATATCTGGCATGATGGCAATGCACCTGCTCACACGGCACTCTCTGTGAGGGAGTTTTTAGCTACTAAACAAATAACTGTTATGGGAACAGCTGGATAAACAGCCGTTGCTTAGCAGCAGATAGTTCCTAGCCTGTGATTGGCTAACACTTTATTCAATGTGGGCAGTTCCCACACTATGCTGGAGTACCCTGTTCACCAGATGTAGCCCCCAGTGACTCTTGAAGATAAAGGAAATATTGAAAGGAGGCAATTTTGATGACATTGATGACATCAGGAGTAATACAACGGCAGCCCACAAAACTAGTTCCAAAATTGTTTTGAAGGGTGGACCAGGCGCTGGCATCGGTGCATAGCTTCACAACAGGAGTACTTTGAAGGCAACCAAAGTGATATTCAGGAATGAGCTATGTAGCACTTTTACCGCGATGAGTTTGTGAACTTTATTGTCAGACCACGTAGCATTTCGATCAAATGAGCTGAACATGAAATTTTTATCAGATAATCCATGTTAGTGAATTCTGCCATTTCGTTTCACTGTCATCACTACTTTACCATTGGAAGTAATGTGTGTAAAGTCTCTTTTGTGACATTATGAAGGCTTCACCACATGAACATAAACACGAAGTCAGGACCAAAAGTATGGCACATTATAACTCTGAGAAATGGTGTACTGGACAACCATTCAAATTTTCTGTTCCAAATTGTTAGCTCAACAACCTCCTAAAGTCTGGCTATAGGACTCCTAATCACTGTATGATAGGAAATGGGTTAAGAGTTTTCCTTGTTGTGGTTCACAGCAGTATGCCATATGTGTAACCTTATTGCCCATCTCTTATTACTGCTGACTGATTTTGCTTTCAAGCCTTTGCTTGTTTTTGTCCCAACTACTTGCATATATTATACAGATCAATAGTATTAGTCTGCCATAAGTCTGTAGTCTGCTACTGTGTGATGATTCTCAAACTTTTTATGTTTGGCACCCCCTGACACCGCAAAAATATCTGGACTCCGTAAGAGAATAGAACTTGTGATACCCACAAATAAAACAGAATGCTCTTGCAGTATAAATCAAAATAAAAGTAGCACTAACAGATAACAGTTGTCAGTGGGAATACTGAAAGAGGATTTATGATACTCCTAGTGAGTCATGTTGGTGTCGCTATGGGTACCTGTATTACAGTTTGAGAAAAGCTACTTTGTGATACTAAGCATATTACACATGTCTGGAGTTCACGCTTTAAACTGATTGCTAATGCCCTATTTTTGTGTCAGTCTTTCAATTGAGTGAACTGTTTCATCCATTATACAGTTTTAAAGGTATAACAGTCTAAAGCATGATATAACTTGAAAGTATGAAATTTAGATTCACGGTTTTTTAAATTTTTTCAGCTTGAGATTGTGTCTGAGGAAACCGGAGTGTTGTTTTTTGGGTTTGGATTATTTTACCACAGTATAAGGCTCTTGTGAACATGGCAGTGAACCTTCAGGTTCTATAAAATGTTTGGAAATTCTTGAGCTGAGTGACTGGCATCTTTCAAGAAGGACTCAGCTCCATGGAGTTAGGTAGTTATTATTTTACTGCCAGAAGATGATTCTGTTCTGTTAAATTTTATGGGAAATATGAATACAGTCTGCAGGAAACTACCATTACTTGTATTCTCTGTACCTGAATGATGATATTAAGATATGAAGAAATTTTCAGGAACAAAGACATGTAACAGAGTGGAATTCACAACATGTCTTAATGAACTGAAGGGCGAAGCTCACAATGGTTTCAGTGAAGAGGAAGTAGAAACATTGATTGATGCACTTATCAGTGCAGAGTGTCTTGGTAAGTTATTGTGTTACTGAACATTTCAGGAAATTAGTAAAATAGTTTTTGTTTTTGATCAGCAGTGATTCTTTAACCCATTGTCAAACATGTCACCTATGAGACGTGGTTGACCACTCTGTCTAAATGGTCCAGAGACTTCTAAAGTTCGCTCTTAGATTGTTTTGGCATTTCATCTTGTCATGAAGTGATGGCAGTCTTAATCTCTTCTGTAATTTTTCTGAGCAAAGTGTGCATTTCATTTATTGAGGTACATAGAGGTCTGAAAATAAGAAGGCATGGCAACAGCAGGAACTTTTTGCTATGAAATGCAGCTGCAACAGCATTCAGGGTACCATTTAGAGAAGTCTCCAGTATTAGTTGTCATAGAAGATTAGTGTTGCATACAGTGATATTTTTAAGACAGCACTTCTTTAATGAATTCTTATTGCTAAACGATTTATCATGTGTCTGCTTGTAGATTTTATATGTAGTTTTGTATATGTATGTATGTTTTTATAATCCTCATATATGGATAGTGTAGTGTGTAGTAATTTACTTGTTATATTTGCTAACAAAATATTCTAGCTTTTTCTAAATATTATAACGTGTTCGGCTACTGAAGACACCGTTCAGATTGTTAATTGGTTTACTTAACAACCTACAGGTCATAACTGCAATTACTTATGACACTCTTGCTGATTTACATGACTTATCCTCACTACACACTAATCTCTAATTCAGTATTCTTCACGTATTTATAACGCGGAAGTTATACAAGTCTCTCTGAATTACACGCTCCCAATATAACTGTACTACAGCACAGATAAAGTCTTGAAGTCACACGAAAAGTCTTCACTGGCTGCCTTCTCAGTTATCGCACACTATCACAGATTATCAAACGCATTCGGTTCTTCTTCCTGCGACTGCTGTTATATTTCAACTGAACTCCTCAGGCATTCCAGTTTCTCATATAACTCAGTCGGACAGCGGAAAACAATTTGCTTCACTGTTGCATAATCGCCTTGTTTACAGAGGTGTTGCTGGGCAACTCTGCATAACAACCAGCGCACTTCGGCACAGAGAAATACCGCTCTCCTTACTGTTGTGTAACTTGGCAACTGACCGTTTATCAAGAGTCTGTCTTCATGGTAACTCGTTCCATATCCCGTTGCCCAACAAAATGGTTTGACATGTCACACTATAAATACATTGATTAACTGCTAAGGAATAGTAGGGTAATTATGTATGGAATTTTGTCTAACCTAATCGAAATTAACGGCCACTAAACTTCGCCGACAAGCGGCGGTTGCTTGGTTGGTATAGTTCACTTGCGGACTAAAATCACGGAGTCTAGTTTATTTCATTTTGGGGATATTTTCTGAAGTTTTCTTTTGCTGTAGAAATTGTCATATGTTAGTTACTAGACATAGGGTTTGGATTGATTATTGCATTTATAGGATGCTGCATATCAGTAACTACAAATAATCACAACATTGTTGCTATTGTACACAATCAAGGTATAAGTACAGCTTCAAGTAACTGCTATTTCTTCACTGCTTATTGCTTGGGAGCATGTTCTAACAGTGGGGAGTCCCTGTGCTGCTTTTATCCTCTATGGCTGATGACTGACAGCTAATGACTGACTGCTGTCTTGGTTGTTAATGTTAGTATATTACACTCTTGTGTATTCTTCTGCACATTAATAACATAATTTTTATAGTTTTATAGTATTTAAAAAAGCAAATGTCTTTCTCTTTTATTTCAGCATCTGTTAGGTTTCAAGGGCTTTTAGAATGCATTGTTCCACACAAATTGGTGACACATAAAGCAGTGTTAAATTTGCTGCAGTGGATATTCACTTATTTTCACACTGCACCCGTTGGAAGTCTTAAGTCAGCATTAGACTGGATGATAGGTAAGTAGTATGATATTTTAAATGTCAGACTATTACTGGATTCAGAGTCTGGTTCCTTGAAGTAACAGAAATGAGAGTTTAGGAATTAAAAATAGCTGGATATAATAAGATTCATATTTTCAATCTGTGAATGAGATTTGGGATGTTGTCATAAGGCAGCCCTAGTTGCCGCATCTGACTGGAGAATGAATAATGCAGCTGTAAAGATGGAGTTATGTTATTGCTACAGAAACTACGCTACCCTCATTAAGTGAAATCCCGATAAGTGTAGATGAATTGCGGATTAAGTGAAGAGGGAGGATGAGTTATTGTGTTTCTGGACATTATTCATGTTTGAACACTAACAATGTAAATGTAGATGAAAATATGGTTCATAGTTAATTTTACATTTCTTTATCAACTGCTATCTTTGTCTAACATGAGCAAGATAATGTGGTGATAATAACTGGTGAATAGAAAGGAAGTGAAAGGAAGTGGTAGTGGCCTATTTCAAAACACTATTCAAGTATTTGCCTGGAATGACTGGCAAATATGATACACATCTAGTTACACTATTTCTTCAAGCAGTAACTCTTTTGTTTCTTTTCTTCTTGAGCTCTTGGTTTGTACCGTAGCCTGTAAACCTACTGCTAAGTAATGACTCTGTAAACAATGGCCATTGCAAAGTAATTCCCAGAAGCAGCAACAAGGGAATGGTGTTCTCTACATGGTCTGAGTGATAGCCACATGATGCAACAATAGAAGAACTGTTGCGTGAGGTGTTTTAGATGTGCTTCATGCTGAGACTATATAAAGAGTTGATTGTGCTTTGTGAGTGAGTTCTGCAGTTGGAAGCCAGTTAGTTAGCTCAGGAGCTGCAGTGAGATAAGCCAGTAAAGACATGAAGCCATGATCATGGAAGTTGAGGGATCTGCACCATTGGAAGCCATTACTAGACAATGACTGGTGAAGACACTGCAGACTGAGAAGATTTAGTACTTGCTATAGTGAACTGCAAGTGTGTGAATTAGCGGTGGCACTATAGTTACTTGTACAAGGTGGTTCAAATTAGCCCGGGACTGATTTGTGTGTAAACAAGCTGCACTGCGCAGCAGCTGTGCGACCTTGAGAGAGTGAAGCCACAACCTCCACCCTCCTTCCTGTTTGGGTTAGAACCTGTTCAGTCCTGTCTGGGAGTTGCTAGAGTGATGAGCAAACAGAAGGTACCACGGAGCATGGAACAACGCATTATGATCAAATTCCTCGTTGTAGAAAACGTCCCGTCCGCTGAAATTACCTACAGACTCCAACAACAGTATGGGGAAGAGTGTTTCTCATGGACCCATGTGTTTGAGTGGTGTAAGTGCTTCAAAGAGGGCAGAGAGCGTGTGGAGAATGAACTGCATGATCATCAGCCGCGAACATCTGTCACCGAGCCAAACATTGATTGTGCAGATGCGCTTATTCGTGAGAATAGGCGCATCACTATCAAGGAACTTGGAGCAATGCTGTCCATCAGTGTTGGTAGTGTACAAGACATTGTGAAATACCACCTGCATTATCGCAAGGTGAATGCACAGTGGGTACCATGCACTTTGATGGATGTGAACAAAATGGTGCGCATGCAAGCTGCCAGTCGTCTCCTACAGCAGTTTGAAGATGAAGGTGATGCATTTTCGAAGTCTATAGTGACCACCGATGAAACGTGGGTGCACTACTACATTCCCGAGTCCCAGCAGTCACCACGCGAGTGGCGGCATACCAGTTCTCCCAAACCCAAGAGAGCGCAGAGGAGCCATTTGGAAGGAAAAGTGATGGCAATATTCTTCTGGGACTGGCAGGGGGTTATCCATGTAGACTTTCTGACAGATGCCAGAACAGTCAACGCAGCTTATTACTCAGACCTCCTCGTAACAGACATGAAGGAAAAGATCCAATCCAAGCAGGAGACAGGTGGAAAGCGGGTAGCCTTCTTTCAAGACAATGCACACCCCCATACAGCCAGAACAACAGCAGAAACCCTCCGGAAATTGAAGTGGAACCTTCTGACACATCTGCCGTACAGTCCTGATTTGGCCCCAAGTGATTTCCACCTGTTCGGAAGGCTCAAATCAGACTTGCAAGGCATGCGGTTTGTGGACAACGACGCTGTCATCCAGACTGTTCGGGAGTGGATATGCTGCCAACCACAAGCCTTTTTTGAAAAGGGCATCAGGATGCTTCCAGAATGTTGGAAAAAGTGTGTTGACTCTGGAGGGGAGTATGTTGAAGACTGACATGTGCAAGTAAGTGTTTGGCAATTATTATTTTTAAAAGAAAAATCAGTCCTGGTCATATTTGAACCATCTTGTAGTTATGATCTCTAAGTGTTCAGTAAATCCAATTACCAATCCAAACCCTGTCTATGGTTACTCCATAAAATCATGATGACTGGTGTAAGAAATGGAATTGGTTTGATCAACTGTTGGATTGAAGATTGCATTGCGTAGCTATATTGCCACACTGCAATGATGGAAATCAAGCAAGAAATAATGGATGCCAATCTAAGGGACTGAAGATTGAAGTAAGAACTGACTGAGAAGAAATGATGGCAAGGCTGAAAGCCAAGATAGAGGCCAATAATGAGAAGTTTGAGGCCCTTCAAACTACTCTTCCCTCTTGGATGGATATCCACCAAGCTAGGATAGAGCCCACTCAAGAAGAAATGATAGCTAAGATGGACTTATATCAAGAAAAGATGGAAGCCCAGCTGAAAGAAATGAAGGCCTGGCAAAAGGAGACGACTGCCTGTCAAAAAGTAATGGAGGCCTATCTAGAGAAGACAGAGCCAACTCCAGAAGAAATAGAGGCCATAGCGGGGTATCAGGAGGTCCTAATAGACGAGGCGGTAATGGAAACTGTCAGAGCATTGAAGGACCAGTGTGGGGACTGGCCTCTAGCCATTGGGCGCAGCTAACAGCCAAAGAAATGGACCCAGGGTGATGATGGGTCCTGGCAGTAGTTGGCTGCTGCTTGAGGAGAGTTGACCCACTGTGCAAAGGACACGGTCTTCATGGACCAGGCAGGGACAATGTTGTATGAGTAGCCCCTAAAGGATGAATGTTCAGAAAGAGATGTCAGGCACAACTGGAATGCAACAACTTCATAAGGGACCAAAGCCTAAGGGGTTAGCTATGTGTAGGAAGCAAGAGGACATTCAACAAGGCGCTCAGACAGACTTTCAGACTGTAGGTTGTGAAGCAAATAGTCAGGATTTCCATCAGGTTACAGGAAGTGAGTGGCTGGACATTGTGGAAGGGTTGGCCCCCTCTGAAATGAAATAAGATGTGCAAAGCACAGTCCTCAGAGGAGAGCAACGATGATGATGGTACACCTGGACTGACTCACACCTTATCAGGGAACCGCTCGGGATGATTGGTCTTGAGGAGGGAGCAGTAGGAGGAGTTGGAGTGTGATTACCAGGAGAACTGAGCCCCAGGGAAGGAAGGTGATGCCGATCACAGACATCACAAGAACAGCCCTTGGAAAAGAAGAAATGGTAGTGCGCCTGCCAAATAACCTTAGCGAAGGAGCAGTGTAGCATGTAGACCTGTTGCCAAGTAATGACTCTGTAAACAGTGGCTGTTGCTAGGTAATGGCCATAAACATGAACAGAAGAATGGTGTTCTCTACACAGTCTGAGAGATAGCTACATGATGGAACAATAAAAGAACTGTTGGGAGAGGTGTTTTCTATGCAGTCTGTGCCAAGGATACATAAGGAGTTGATTGTTAATTTGGATCATGAAAATCCAAATGTACATGCATTTGGACAAGAAGAAGTCAGACATAGGAAATATAAGAGGCTTAAACTTGGTGGCGGTGAAGCCTACGACCGTTCAAGTGTCTAACTGCCATTTCGGATTGTTAAGTAAATTGATGCATAGGCTGCTGCACAGTCCTGCACTGATAGGTGTCCCTCTACATATTAGAATTTAATTTCAGTTTATACTTGTGAGGCTTTCCCTGGGAAGGCCAAGGCATAGGTGGGTGGACAGTATTAAAATGGATCTTAGAGAGATAGGATGGGATGGTATTGATTGGATTTATCTGGCTCAGGATAGAGACCAGTGGAGGGATCTTGTGAACACAGTAATGAACCGTCAGGTTCCATAAACTGCTGGGAAATTCTTGAGTAGCTGCAGAATTGGCGGCTCCTCCAGAAGGGCTCAGCTCCATGAGTAAGTAAGTAAGTAAGTAAGTTATACTTGTGAAGAATTTAAAAGAAAAATGTATATAACACATATTTCCACCTGTGAGAATAATGTAACCTCAGGTGGAATAAGGTGTAGAAAGAAAGAAAACCAACCCCTCCTTTTTATCATTAAGGAGGACTAACTAAGAGGGGGGAAAAGATTCTAGACACTAAACCAAAATATGACCATGGGTCCCAGCGGGGTCCGATGCCAGGAGTGACTGTGCTGGCTGATTGCTGGCAGTAAGCTTCTGCTCTGCTCTGTGAAAGAGTTCGGCAGTTGGAAGCCAGTGAGTTCAGCTTACAAGCTGCAGTGAGATAGGCAACAGCCAGCAGAGATGTGAAGCTATGAACATGGAAGTTGAGGGGTTTATGGCATTGGAAGCTCTTAGCAGACAACGGCTGCTGAAGACACAGCAGATGGAGAAGACTTAGTACATGCTGTAGTGAACTAAATCGTGTTTGAATTAGCGATAGCACTATAGTTACTTGTAGTTATGGTCTGTAAGTGTTCAGTTAATCCAATTACCAATCCAAACCCCGTTGGTAGTCACTCCATAAAAGCGTGACAGTATAATTCATTTTCAGGTTTGTTGTATATAACAGTAATATTGTTCCTGGTAACAGATTGATGTATTTATTTTCTGGCTGCTTCCAGTCCTTTCATTTCATCCAAGAATGTTGTTTTATGTTCCACAACTTCCTCTTCCACTTCTAGTTCTTCTGGCCTGATCAAATGTTGATCTAATACCTAATCAACACTCCAGATTGCATGGACCTCAAGAGCACCATCACATATTGTGTAGCCCTCAAACTGCACTCCAAGAGGTTGTACACTTTGCCAGACATCCTCCTCGTCTTCAGTGAGTTTCACTGCACTGTCATCATTGTTGCTGACGTGATGAATTGAGAAACCACGCTCATAAATCAGTTATTGATTATAATAGATGTTATAAATCTCTGAAGTTCTGCTGTTAAGTGCAATCCAGACAACGCATCCACTTTCATCAATGCAGTGTCTTGAAGCATGCCCCAGTCTATCATGGCTTGCAGTCTTTGAAATCAGCTGCTTTCTGTAATTGCTTTTGAATGCATGATAGCAGAAAAATCCTCTTACACGTACTAGGCCATAATGAAGTCGTGTGGTGCACTCACAAGTAACTTGCAACAATGCATCAGCCATTTGATACACATTTTCAGACTGAATTATTTGTGACTGCTAACAGGAAAGGAGGTCCATTGTCTTGGATAAGAAATCATGAGAAATGAACTACAGAACATAAAACTGGGTAAATTTTCTTAGCCAGGACTAGAAAAGGGAAGTGCAAATTCAAGGAAAACGTGAAGTTCGTGGGAACATATAATCCATTAGAGCGGCCTCCATAGTCTAGAGGTAACGTTCCCACCTCATGACTTGTGGTACGCGGGTTCAAATACCCGGTGGAGGTCGTCGAATTTTTAAGGGCGGAAAAATTCAGGGAACAAGTCCTCCGGGAGGGACTTTAAGCTGTGTGTCCCGTGTCGTAACTTTACGGCACGTAAAAGAACCTCATATCCCCAAAGGGGATCACTGAGCCAAATTCCAGGACGTTTCCCGCCCAACAATAGCCTCTAAGGCCTCTGATAGATGGGGGAAGCATTATAGACACCGCTAAGCAAGTGGCCGAACTTGCTTGCTCGGCGGGACTGATGGTATGCACCATTTATCGGTAGGGTAAAGAGACTGGTAGAATATCATAGAGGGAAGCACAATAGATCAAACTGGTCATGGTGCATGGGGAAACCCACCCTCTCTAAATAACTAACTAACTAACTAACTAATCCATTAGCGATCAACATTACTGTTATGGGCATTTGGCTGGGTCCATGCAAAAAATGTGTAAATTTGTGATTGTATAATTGAAGTTTCACTGTATGCATAATGTAACAATTCTGGCATGTTCACTTCCATTTATTTAATTATCTTGAAAACCATAAGAACGGAGAAAAATGCATTAATATAAAATCTATGTTTCATTTTTCTGTACATCTTTTGTCCTTAATATTTTTCACTACAATAAATATTTAGCGAATTACATTTGAGATGTGTTCAAAATGCATGTAAGCCTGTGTCTGTTCTTATTGTCCAATTTTAATCAAAATTATAATATATCAGCAAATGTTAGTGATATTCATATAAATTATTAGAGCTCTGTTTAATGATTCTTGAATAGTTACATAGTTACATGTGGATAGACTGGTATGGAAAAGCTAATAGGTGCGATTTTGCAACTTTTCATTGCGAATGCCCTGTTTTGGTTGAGAAAGAATTCCCAATTGCCTTAACTGAATGGTACCCTAAGCAACACAAGTAATAAGGAAAAGGGTATTCCAGCATCACTAAATCTGTCTTCTCAACTACAGACGTATTGGAGACTTATTTAAGTGTTCACTTGCCCACAAGCATAATAAGACTGCATATTTCAGTATGTATGGATGAGACTTCTGATGGTGATCAGACCCTCTCCACTTACAAACACATGATTGAAATACTGTATGCTCTGGTTTTGCTTCTGACTCACGTGGACACTGCAGTCTCAGAGGTGACAATTTCCTTATCGAGATGGTTGTAATACCTGTATGTACAAGCGGCCTCCGTAGTCTAGGGGTAACGTTCCCACCTCATGACTCAAGGTACGCGGGTTCAACAACCCGGCAGAGGTCGTGGAATTTTTAAGGGCGGAAAAATTCAGGGAACAAGCCCTCCAGGAGGGACTTTAAGCCATGGGTCCCGTGTCGTAGATTTACGGCACGTAAAAGAACCTCATGTCCCTAGGAGACATCTGAGCTAAATTAGGCCAAAAAGTTTCCAATGCCTCTGGTAGATGGGGAAGTATTACGTACCACTGCCAGAGGAGGGACGACCTCGCTGACAGAAAGGGACTAACTATTAGATACCACTGCCAAGTAGAGGGTAGAAGCCTCGCTGGCAGAAAGGGGCTGATAGCGAGCACCAGTACTGGTAGGGGATGGAGACAGTAGAAATTAAAAGGGGGACATACAATAGACTATCAGTCATGGTGCATGAGGAAACCCACCCCCTCAATACTGAATAACTGAATACCTGTATGTATGGATTGTTGAATGATAATAAAATGAAATGAAAAAGACCTTGAACAAGTGTGAATGGCACTTTGACAGATTAGTTACAATCCCAATCATACTGAAAGGTTGTGACTGGAATTTATTCTTTCAAGCTAACAGTGACTCTCAAAGGGTTCACATTTATAAGTAACTCAGAAAATTGTAACAGAAGTCTGTATATAGAATTGACAGAATTCCTGTGCCATAGCTACTGTAAGGTGGTTTGAAATGAAGGGGTATCATAATGTTGACCAGCTTGACTGTGAGTAGTAATATGACACACAGCAGATAAATGTTAATGTACACTTGTATGTGGTTCAAGGAAAAAATAATAATTCAGCATTACTTATTAGCTGATAGTTCTAAAATTGTCATCATTTATGTATTTTAATTTTTTATATTTGTTTTGTTTTTTTACAGGTTTAATTGAGTTTGGGCTAACTGATGAAATGGTGGTTCATGCCTTTTATCACCATTTTTATTTGCTCCTTGAGAATGAGAGATTGGTAATATGTATGTTTATTGTTTTTGCATTTAGTAATTATCACAATCCTTTATTTTGATTCATTTTTTGTTTTGTTATCTTTAATCAGAATTGAACACAGTCAGAAATAAATAACATATCATATATACCAGTTTTAGCATATTACAAAGCTGGTGAATGTTTTGTGGATATTCATTATAGAAACCAGATTTTAAGTTCTGTTTGGGCTTATAGGGTTTCCTTTAATTATATTTCCAGTCTGTGGCTGCATGCAAATTAATACATCTCTTAACAACTCCTAGTGATGTGTCAAGGTGGAGAGTGAAAAAGATTTTGAAGATTGAACAGAAGTTTGGAAAAAGGAATCACACTACTTGTCTGCTGTGGTGAGTAGCATCATTTCCTAAACATTGTTTGTCTGAGATAAGTCGGAAGTAGTAAGTAATTAATACTTGTCTTTCATCCTTTCTGAGTGCCTATTCCTTATTGTAAAATTTACATAGTATGTAACTTGAAGCATGCAGTGTTTTATTCTTTAGAATACGATAGCAGTTCTCATTGTAACACAGTGGTACTCAACTTCTTTTGTTTGGATATCCCTCAAATAGTACAGAAAGCACCAAGTCTACATGCATAGTAACGTGTTTCGTTACTGAAGACGCCGTAGAGATGGTTAATTGGTTTATTTAACAATCTACAAATAACGGCTACAATTAATTATCACACAGTTGCGGGGTTTCACACTTTATAACCCTAATCGCATTAATCTGTTAACACTGTTGCGGGGTTTCACGACTTATAACCCTATGCGCAAATCAGTTCACTCTGTCTTCAGTAGTCTACACGTTTACAGTAGGGGAGCTAGGTATCACTGTATCACACGCTCCCAATTACACAATCACACACACGTCCGGATCTTCTTCCCGCGACGGCTGCTATACTCCAACTTTAGTCCGCTGACTGGAGAACTGTTGATAACACACTCTCGTAGGCTTGCTCGGAACTATCTTCGGCGATGGCCACGTTATAACTCGGCGACTGCTGCTATATGTCAACTCGACTCGGCGACTGTTACTTTATAACTCGGCGGCTGTCACAGCACAACTGAAGTCACCGACTGCTATAGTAGAACTCTGCGGTAGCCACATTAGAACTGACTGGTACCAGCTGTGCAGCTCACTTATATAGCTGCCGTGGTTGCCGGTTGCGTAATGAGTGCCACGTCATCCTATTACGTCACCGCTGTTGACTCGCATTGCGTAGTTACCAGGTTACGGGGCTCGGTTATCTTCGGCTCCGCTCGGCTCTCTTCGGCTCCGCTCGTGACGTCACCGCGCGTTGCGCGTTACGTCAACGCGGAGGGGAGTGGCGGGGCGGGAACTCGCCTATTACCGTAGTAATGCGAGCGTTACGTTACCGCCACGTACCGCTGGGGAGGTAGGGGTGATCCATAGCTCAACATGTCACACAGTGGTACTCAACTTCTTTTGTTTGGATATCCCTCAAATAGTACAGAAAGCACCAAGTCTACATGCATAGTGCAGCATAAAGTGCTCATGCTGGGAAACAGTCATCTCAAGGGAAGTGTTGTTAAACTTAGAAGTGAATTAAGTCCACAATTTAAAGTTTTTGGTGTGATTAGACGGGGAGCTTGTGCTGAGAAGATTGTGAACACTTCTGCTGAGGATCTACAAAATTTACATTCATATAATGTTGTTCTTAATGCTGGTGCCAATGATGTATATAAGAATAATAAGGGAGTAGCTTTAACCCAAATTACTAAGTTTATACAAAGGAACTATGGTACTAATAATATAATTTTAGATATTCCTCAGAGATATGATCTTTCACCTTTTTCGTGTGTGAATTCTGAAATTGAAGAATTTAATAGAAAATTGAAGAAAATTGCTACTTTATACAACCATGTCTCACTTTTAGAAACAAATCTTAAGAGAGAATGTTTCACAAAGCATGATCTTCACTGGAATTCTCTAGGAAAGACTCTGGTAGTGAAACTCATATCCCTACAAATTAATAAATTAGTAGGAAAAGGATTTCTAATGCCGATCAATCTTACTTGGATAGATAATGCTTTGTTGGGTAATGTAGATAGCTTTAATGAAGAAATGATAACTTTGTCTGGTAATGTAAATGTAAGTATGGATAGTGAGAACATAAAAAATAATGAACGAAGAAAACAACAGAAGGAAACTGGTATAGATGAAATTAATCTGCGCAGAACCTCTGTCAGGCAGAGAAAGGTACCTGTAACTAGAAGGGAGGATTTTTTTTGGTAAATCCCTCACCAGATGTAATTGGTAGAGATTTTAACATTTCCAGGGAAAATGAGAGTGAGGAATGATATTGTGACATGTTGCGCAACGGAGAACCCCTCCCTACCCAGCAGCAATGTGGCAACTCAGGCCACAGTGACATGGCGGATGAGTCAGCACTCCCCTCCCCCCCTCCGCGGTGACTTAACGCGCAACGCGCGGTGATGTAAGATGGTGCGAGGTAACAGTGTTGCTAGGCTATACGCAAACACGGTGACGCTGCACCGCTCCCTACTGTGACGTGGCACGCAACAGGCACCACTGCGGCTATATAAGGGAACTGCACAGCAGCTACGAGTCAGTTGTAACGTAACAGTCGCCGAGTCGAGTTGACATACAGCAGCAGTCGCTGAGTTCAGTAGTAGTCGAGCGAGTGTGTTATCAACAGTTCTCAAGGCAGCAGCATGCGCGTCGAGTTGAAATATAGCAGCCGTCGCGGAAAGAAGTACCGGACGTGTGTGTAACTGAGAATTAATTGGGAGTGTGATACAGTGATACATAGCTCCCCTACTGTAAACGTGTAGGCTACTGAAGAGAGAGTGAACTGATTTGCGAATAGGGTTATAAATCGTGAAACCCCGCAACAGTGTAAACAGATTAATGCGACCCTTTGTGTCCCATGAATCACTAAGGATGATTTACTTTTCTCATTTTCATGCAGTTATGTCATATGGTATAACCTTCTGGGGGAATTCCCCTTATAGTATCAATATATTTAAACTACAAAAAAAGGCCATAAGAATTATTACAAATTCCAGAAATAGGGATTCCTGTAGGAAATTGTTTAAGAAACTAGATATATTACCATTTTATTCTCAGTGTATATTTTCATTACTAATTTTTGTAATTGATAATATCGCCTTATTTAAAACAAATTCAGGGTTATATGATATCAACACCAGAGGTAAAAATAATTTTTACCCTTCACAACCAAGGTTGTCTATCTATAAAAATGGTGTTTATTATATGGGTATAAAGGCATTTAATCACTTACCTCCATGCATAAAAAAATAAAATAATTATGTTATCATCTACCTTTTGGTATGATGATTTTTTACAATATTAAATTTAAGATGTTGTTATGTTTAATGTTAAAGTAGGAAGATAAACAGTTTGGTTTATTGTTTGGTCTGACCTGTGCTTATTTTCATAGCATGTGTATTTTAGTTATTTGTCTGTGACTGGTTCTGTATCCATCAGGTGTTTTGTAGCTGAGATTGGATCGGCGGAATTTTACAATGGAATAAATAAATAAATAGTTTAGCTTCAACTTGTGCCATGGGTCACACAGTAGCATAGTTGGTTGAGGCACTATGCTACAAGCTAGAAGGTTGTGGGTTCGAGTCCTGATGAGGTGGATTGCTTTTAATTTACCTAATCGTTCCAACTGCACTATGGCCCTGGGATCAACTCAGCCTCTAACAGAAATGAGTACCAGGAATCTTCCTCGGGGGTAAAGGACGGCCGATGCATAAGGCTGACAATGTTACCCGCCTTCTGTGAACCGATCGTCTAGAGAAAATGTGGGAGCCTCGACATCTCACAACCCTGTGGGCCTTCACGGCCTGTTGCAGGGATAGCTTTACCTTTACCTTTATCAACTTTGTACCCCAAAAGTTATTGGTATATAATTCAAGTTATACACAGTCTATCTAAAATAAATTTAAAAATTACTTCCAAATAATATGTTAAATAATAAGTTTCAGATGAGAGAAAGGAGAATCAAGCTGTTAAATGAATATGTTATTGCCTATTGTATAAAAATTAATAAATGAACAAAGATATTTTAGCAAAGCAAAATTATGTGGTTAAATATTTTATCAATTATTAATCTGGTTCTGACCTGTTAATGAGATGACTGAGCTTGTTTCTGGCATGCCAGCACCCCAATTCAGGAGGAATTTTAATATTACATATTCTGTAAGATGTCAGCACATACTGCCCAGGTGTATGCATACCCCAGGTTGAAGACCGTTGTTGGAAGATGCCTGATACATCAACGATTGCAACGTTTTCTCTCTGAAGTGTAGTGTGCTTGGAAAATAAATTTGCTTATCTCAGTTGACAGTCAAATTGTCCTTGGAATTGCCAGAATTACTATGAAATTCCTTGCTCTCTAGTATTGCAGCCTTAAAATAATTAACTTGAAATCTCTTTAATCTCTTATAAATCTAATCAGTCCAATAGCTAGAATCTAGATTGGACTGAGTGAAAATGGAAGTACTTTATGTTGGATGCCATTGTATTGGATACATTTGTATGCAGGACAGTGAGACACAGTATGACATTAATAATTTTTGGAAATTTAACAAAAATTGTGTGGATTTTTTGTTTTTGTGTTTTGAAAACCAATATCAAGAAGGTCAAAATTGGCTGAAATTTTTTCTTTATGAATATTACTTGCATATATAGAATAGATTTGTCATAAGAGACAAAAGTTCATTCTTCACCCATCACTATACCAGAGAGAACCAAATTATCTTTACTGTTACTGGTAAATCTGTTTTGGATATAGACATTAGCCGAAGATGATTAAAGAATAGGTTGTTGAATACCAGAGATTGGAATAAGTGAAGGAATGTGTGAACTATATCACTGATTGGTCATGATCATGATGACAAGTCGTCTTCATCATCATCATCATCATCATCATCATCAAACGATCAAGATGTCATATTCCAAAATTCTGTGTTAAAATGTTTCAATAATTTTATGAAAAAGTTAGATAGTTCCTTCCCATATGACTGGTTAAGATTTTTTTTTCTTATTTCAATTATTCATGCCCTTGCAAGCCCAAACACACAGCGTGCCACTAACACATACAGGACAACATTAAAGAGCCCTCTTCTCGAGAACGACAAGGTGGCACACATTTTGCCCCTATCAAAAAGAAATAATAACAGTGACAACACAAACCAGCTTGGTTTACGAATTCCAATAGAATCTTATTAAACTAACTATAAATATTTTAATATATTGGAACAGCCGCTGTAGTTGTAAAGACTTAGATTTTACACCCAATTGTATATTATTTATATTGTATGTATATACGAGGGGCGTTCAAGTTCTAAGGTCTCCGATTTGTTTTCTCAGGACTGGGAGCAGATAGACACACGCGGTTTAGTTTAAAATACGTGTGCACTCTTTGTGAATGCGTGACAGAGATGGCAGCACTCTACGGCACACAGAACTCTAGTGGTAGCGGCGAGAGTGAGAAGTGTTTTTGATACTTAAAATGGCGAGTTTTCGTTACAAGAACAGCAAGTAATCATTCGTTTTCTCCACTTGCGTGGTGCGACACCCATTGAAATTCATCGCCAGTTGAGTGAGATGTGTGGTGATGGTGTCATGAATGTGAAAAATATGCGTTCATGGGTGCGACAGTTCAAAGAAGGCCGAACGTCATGTGACAACGAACCAAAACAATCTTGGCCTCGCACCAGCCGGTCTGACAACATGGTCGAGCGAGTTGAGAAAGTTGTTTTGGAGGATCGCCGATTGAGTGTGGAAAACATCGCCTCCAAAGTTGGCATTTCCGTGGCATCTGTGCACAAAATCCTGCATGAAGACCTGCGAATGCGGAAAGTGTCCTCCAGGTGGGTACCGCGAATTCTGGCGGATGACCACAAGGCTGCACGCATGGCAATTTGCCAGGCGATCTTGACACGTGATGAAGGCATGAATGGGACTTTCTTTTCATCAACTGTGACAATGGATGAGACATGGATGCCGTTTTTCAATCCGCTATTGCATCAGCAATTTTCCAGTGGTCAAAACAGACTCCTACAGAAGCGTTCGCAGCGGCCATGGAATCATGGCATCGACGTTGTGAAAAATGTGTAAGGCTGCAGGGAGATTATGTTGAAAAGTGACAGAAGTTTCAAATTTTTTGTATGATTATTGTGTGAGAAAAAAAATCGGAGACCTTAGAACTTGAATGCACAACGTATTTTAACTTTTAAAACCTGTACTGTAATAGTGGCTTCTAACTGTATTGATGTAAAGGTGTCCCTCTGAAGATGGTCTCTGAAGACCGACACATGTAAGGGCATGAATAATTGAAATAAGAAAAACAAAATATCTTAACCAGTCACACTGGACAGGACTATTTAACTTTTTCATAATATTATTAGTGTGACGGACCAGAATGAAACAAATCAAATGTTTCAATAAGTTACATAAATTTGACATGAGAAATCTTTTTATCCAGTGAAAATTTCCTCTGATCTTTAAGTAGATGGCCATTTCTGATTAGTTTATATCATGTAAAAGTATCATTTTAGGTTTGCATTTGTTAAGATTTGATTCTTCATTTTAGCAAATCTGTATTTGTGTGTGTGTGTGTGTGTGGGGGGGGGCAAGTGTAAATAAAATTAAATGTTGTATAAGCAAAATTAAAGCATAAAATAAGCTGTGAACATTTTCATGTAGTGTGGTAACTCTCCTAGTTTTTTTCTGCTAAATCAAGTTACCACCCATTCATACTTCCTCCTCCTGCCTCATTGAGCTTGCAATATACGAGGGGGGACCCAAAAATAACCGGAACCGACCTGTTGCGCGCGCATGCTTTGTAGTTACGAGTTGTGCTGCTAGGTGGTGTTAGCTGGGGGTCTCCCGCGACTGTTAGTGAGCTGGCGTCAGTCTGAGTTAAGTGGTTTGTCTGTGGTGCTCTGTTGTGTGCGTTCCTGTTTCAACCCTTTGGCGATTAGTGAGATGGCCGACCAGAAGGAACAAAGAGTGTGCGTGAAATTTTGCTTTCTGTTAGGGAAAACTGCACTTCACTCTTCAAGTCGCGGCAAACATTCACGCGGTTTTCTCTTTGGTCATCTCCGAGCAAGCGAGGAACAAATTTTGCAGACACCCGTCTCATGTGCAAACCTTCGGTTAAAATTCGCTGGACCGTGCTCCATGAGATGTTCGTTTCCTCAGAAAGTTGGTCAATGGTCTTTCGACGATCTTCATCAATTGCACGTTTGATTTTGGCAATGTTTTCGTCATTTCTTCCTGTCGAAGGACGCCCGGGGCATGGCATGTCTTCTGTTGACATGTTGCCAGATTTGAAACGGGAAAACCACTCGTAGACCTGTGATTTCCCCAAAGCATCATCATTAAAGGCTTGCCGAAGCATCCCAACAGTCTCGGCTGCAGTTTTCCCTAACAGAAAGCAAAATTTCACGCACACTCTTTGTTCCTTCTGGTTGGCCATCTCACTAATCGCCAAAGGGTTGAAACAGGAACGCACACAACAGAGCACCACAGACAAACCACTTAACTCAGACTGACGCCAGCTCACTAACAGTCGCGGGAGACCCCCAGCTAACACCACCTAGCAGCACAACTCGTAACTACAAAGCATGCGCGCGCAGCAGGTCGGTTCCGGTTATTTTTGGGTCCCCCTTCGTATGTATGCTTGAATGTTGGAACAACTACTTCACATGGTGCATCTAATCTCCAAAGGGCAGATTACACATTATATCCAAAAATGCTTTTAGGCTTCCTTTCTTTTTGTTCAGAACAGACCAAAGTTAAATTTATTCCTTGAACTTGATAAAAATTTTGGATTTCAGAGCTTGTAAAATATTATGCATTGAGGGCATAGTTATTAAAGGTAGGTAGAGTGAAAGACAGATGGAAATGATGATGAGTAGCTGATAGGGAGCTTATTAGTTCTTTCAGAATATTTCTAATAAACATGGTGAATATATTTCTTGGCTTTTGTGGGTAGGTGTATATGCGTTGCAGTAGTAGTGCAGTAATTCCTATAGCCTATGGAAATACATGGTTGTGTGTGTGGACACAAATTTGACTTGTATTTTATCTTTCTGCAGCTTATTCAAATCATACAAACCAGAATGTGTACCTGAGAAAGTTCCAGCTGTAAATCTGCACACTGCATTTAAGGCTGTTGGAAAAATGAATCCATTTTTTCAACAAGCGCAGTTGAGGTTAAATGCTGGGAGTAGTGAGGAGACATGTGCTAAAATGGTAAAATGGAACATTGACCAGGGATTAAAGAAGGTAAGTGAGGGTGCTTTAGTGCTAAATAATGTACCCCCTTCCACATGCATAGATGCTTAATTGTTGATATCTCCCCAAACCATATGTATCTGTAGAGGTGTCTGAGAACAAAGTGCTGAGAAAAATACTTGGACCTAAGAAAGTGGAAGTAACAGGAGGCAGGAGAATACTGCATAATAAGGAGGTTCATAATATGTGTTCTTCACCACCTTCAGGTCCCATATAAGACAAACATATCTTGATTAAGAACAGTTCACTCCTTAAGAAGGACTATGCACCTTATTGTAGCAAAGAGTGTTGCTTGAACTTTCCTTATTCCTCTTCTGTGTGTTTCAGACAAGGACAAAAACAAAAGTGGATGCTGTCCCTCCTCTTGACTATGTGTATTTTGGATCTAAACTGTACAGAGCGAAGGAAAAGCATTCTATATTGGAATTCAAAACGTAAGTGTGTGGCTTCTTATTAGTTTGTATGTGATATATAATATTGAAAGGTAGCCCAGCTTTGAGTTTCTTTTTGTAGGACTGATGATTTGGAGTCGTAAAGCAAAGGAGAAATTCTGCTATTAAACTAGCATTAAGTGTTGATCAGCTTGTGGGTGAACAGTGTTCTGGATGAGATTCAATGAAGTAAAAATTTAGATTCTTGTCTTTGGGGTTGTAAAATGGAATATATGAAGGGAATTTTTTCAAGCATTTGAAGTTGTATTATTTATCTGTGAAATAAGACAGCAAAAAATGCTAGTTAAGAAAGAAAACATAGTGAATGATGATGCTAAATCTGTAAATACTGTGAAGGAAGGAAGTGATCATACTGATACCCAACATTATGAAATTTAAAATGACGATGATAGTAGAAATGACCACGTTTCTGATGATGGGTACGGTGTTCCAGCATTGTAAAATGGACATATAAGGACTGATATTTCAGAAGGGAAGCTAGAGTGAATAAAAACCTGATTATTTTATAATAACATTAAGTTGCCAATGTAGTAAACTGTGTTTTATGAATTCTGGTTGAACAGGAATTTTACAGTGTTTTCACTTGGCATGGCAGGTGATTTGTATAGGGTTTACAATCTTAATTTTTACTTTTTAGTTTTCTTCTCCTCCTTCCTCTTCATTGGTTGAATTAATGTTGATTGATAATGAACATTCTTGGTGACTGTTGTCTTCCACTCATGTGTAAGGAAGGAATGAAGTTATGAGATGGAATAGATTTTGTGTATATTTTATGTCACTTTATGAAGTTATATAATTGCCAAATCACAAAAGTTAATGTTGCATCTACCTGATGACGATGTTGTACTTGGAAATATGGCTTTGCACATTCTTAACCCTGGCACTGTATGGAGGTGGGTTAGGATCATATCCCAGCCACATTACTTATAAGGAGAGGGCCCTGTCACACATTGGACAGGAAGCTGATTGGGTCCCAGAGCTGTTTGGACGCTGTGAAGAGAAAAATCTTTGTCTCTGCGAGGAATTGAAGCACATTGCCATGTGTACATGGCTATCAATGCTGACATGCCTCTAAACATGCGCGCACACAACAAACCATATTGTTTCTAACTTATTTTTGTTTTCATATAATTTCTCATAATTAGTGTTGAGTTTTTACATGAAAATACATAGGTTACCAGTAATTGAACATTACTTACTTGTTTTGCACAGTAAAGGAAGTCAGTTTCTGTTTTTTAAACTGTTATTTGAAAGGACTGATGGTGATGATGAACTGACATATAGCATGACTGTACATGGAACTATACAGCAAAAATTATTAATGCTTTGTGAAACATACTACTTTACAATTATATTATAACAACATTTTATCATATGCATAGCCACTTCTGTACTCTTACATGAATGTACCTGTTTGTCTTTTCATCTACCTTCTGCCATTTTTACCTCTATCTTTCTCCTTTATCCTTTTTTTCTTTCCATTCTAAGTTAATGAGCCACAGTATATGCATATTGCTTCATTTCTTTTTGTGTTCCACTAGCCTGAAGTCATTGAGTGTCCATCAGTTAAATCTGGACATTCCATGCAATTCAATGAGCTTGTTGCAGAATATTGCAGGTATCCATGTCCTTGCATTTGGAGACAGGAGCTTACAAAGTAGACTGTCCTTTAATCTGTACTACACACTTTACAGAGGTAAGACGTGATTTCCTTTTCATGTTTTATATTTTTATTGCATGATGAATTGGAAAGTGCATCTTCTGGAGAGAAAATTTGTATTATTCATTTCATATAATTACTTACTTACTTACTTACTTACTTACTCTTGGAGCTGAGCCCTTCTGGAGGAGCCGCCAATTCTGCAGCTACTCAAGAATTTCCCAGCATTTTATGGGACCCGAAGGTTCATTACCGTGTTCACAAGAGCCCTCCACTGGTCCCTGTACTGAGCAAGAGCTATCCAGTCCATACCATCCCATCCTATCTCTCTAAGATCCATTCTAATATTGTCCACCCACCTATGCCTTGGTCTTTCCAGTGGTCTCTTTCCTTCTGACTTTCCCACCAATATCCTATAAGCATTTCTTGTCTCCCCCATTCATGCTACATGCCCTGCCCACCTCATCCTCCTTGACTTGATCATTCTAATTATACTGGGAGAAGATTACAAGTTATGAAGCTCCTCATTATGCAGTTTTCTCCAACCTCCTGTCACTTCATCCCTGTTCGGTCCAAATATTCTCCTCAACACCCTGTTCTCAAACATCCTCAGTCTATGTTCCTCCCTTAATATCAGAGATCCAGTTTCACACCCATACAGAACCACAGGCAAAATTATAGTTTTGTATATTCTAATTTTTATGTTTTTGGACAGCAGATGAGAAGACAAGACATTCTGGACTGAATGGTAGCAAGCATTACCCGAGTTCAATCTGCTCTTAATTTCCTCCTGAATCAGGTTTCGATCTGTTATCGTTGTCCCCAAATATCTGAACTGTGCCACATTTTCAAAACATCTGTTTCCTATCTTTATGTCATGATTTTGCCCTGCATTCATCAAATATAATTAGGATGATCAAAGTCAAGGATGATGAAAGAGGTAGAGGACATACCAAACGAGAGAGAGATTGAAAATGCATGCATAATTCTGGTCAGAAAAGTTAAGTGAGTTCGCTGCAGACCAAATGAATGAGTCGTCATTTGATGTGGTCTGTTAGTGAGTCAGAAATGTAGTTAGAGTAGTCAGTTTTCATTACAGTTCAGTGCAGTACAGAGAAGAAGAAAGAAGTGGTGAGTGCAATGAAATATTGAGTGGAAAAAGAACTGGCCTCAAGAGTATAAGCAGTCAGGGATGATGTGGCAATGACCACTTCAAACATCAGTAATCATTGCAGTATTCTGATTATGAATGGTAGAAATAACTGATTCCTGTTTTCAGCATTATTTTTATATATTTATAATGTTATTTTCTTGCAGCACTGCAGATAATCAGGTAGTGTAACATCATTCATTATTATGTTGTTGCTTTGGTATCTCATGGGAACAGCACTTTGCCAATTACACTTCTTCTTTTTTTCCAAGCATTTATTGAATTGGATCAAGATTTCTCATACAGAGAGAGGGAGAATGTTTTGAAACAAATTGTGGAATTGGAAGAATATATGCAGCAGGGTATCCCAGTAGTTTCTCGATTTTTAGCCGAGTATCTGCCCAGATGGGATGGTGAGGATTTCCGAGAAATGATATTCCACTTACTGCAATGGATCACTTTCAGCTCATATTTAGGTAATTAATTTAATTGGTTAGATCTCTTCATAACAATACAGGATATAAGTAAAAACTAAGTAAAGTAAAGCTATCCCTTTAAGAGGCCATGAAGGCCCATAGGGTTGTGAGATGTTGAGGGTCCCACATTATCTAGACAATCGACTCACAGATGGCGGTAAGGTTGTCAGCCATATGCGCCGGCCATGCTTTACTCCCCAGGAAAATTATTTAATTAATTCCTGGTACTCATTTCTGTTAGAGGCTGAGTCGACCCCAGGGCCATAGTGCAGCCAGAAGGATTAGGTCAATTGAAAAAATCCAGTGACCTAATTGGGACAGGATATAAGAAGAACGAGAAACATTTAAATTTGAGGTGTTGTGTTTACTATGCAGAATGTAGGTGAAAGGCCACCAATTCCACAAACACCTGGAGTACACTAATCCCTACCTTTCTAGATCTCCTTATTTCATTGTTAATATTATGTTCCCAAGCAATGGAACTTTTAATGCATAAATTTATTCTAGTGCATGGTCTTCAAAGTAAACCAATAATTTAAATACTTATTTTTTATAAATATTGACAGCGCAGCATTGCAAACGATGACAAAAAACATAGAAATTTATGAAACTTTGTCTTAGGTGAAAGTGTTTTTTAATGTGGGAACCATCAGAATGTTTCTTCATATCTTTATCATGTTTTTTTCTCTTCTGGAATCAGTCAAGCTTTTCCCATTGAAGATTTTAGCAATTTGATTTTTGCATGGTTGGGTTGCTAACTCATCCCATAAATTCTGAATTTGGAAGATTAGACCTTTGCCTTACTAACCACTTTTTGAGGTTCCTGATTGACCTTTTCAGCTACTGTAACAATCCCAGAGTACGTAGATTCCCACTGTATTGCCCCTACGTGGTGTGTTCAAAAAGTATCGAACCTTCTTTTTTCCCACGTAAACCAATGAAGCGCCGGAGGCTCCCTTCGGTGGAGATGTGGAGGGGACATTCATGCACAGTCGTTAATTTTTTCCCTCCCGCAGAAAGCGTCAATTGCTGGCAGTCAGCCTATGAGTGAGGACGTGTAGTGAGCGCTCGTCGGATTCCAGTAAGGTGTAAAATGACAGAACAACATGAGCAGCGATATTGCATCAAATTTTGCCAAAAGCTTGGCAATACCCAAGTGGAAACCATTCGCAAGATTCAACAGGCTTTCAGGGACAATGCCACGAGCAACTCACGGATAAAGGAGTGGTACAACCGCTTCAAAGATGGCCGCACATCAGTGGACAGCGAACCGCGGTCAGGCAGACCCTCAACAAGCCGAAATGAGAATGTCATTGAGCAAGTGCGGACTTTGGTCATGGAGGACCGTCGTATCACAGTCTGAGAATTTGCGAATGAGATAGAGGTAAGCATTGGATCAGTACATTCAATTTTGACCGAGGATTTGGGCATGAAGAGAGTGTCCGCGAAATTCGTACCGAAACTGCTAACAATGGAGCAGAAGCAACGCCATCTGGAAATCGCACAGGACATGCTGGACAATGCAAACAGTAACCCCAACTTTCTGAACACCGTGATCACAGGCGATGAGTTGTAGGTTTATGGGTACGACCCGGAACCCAAGATTCAGTCGTCACCGTGGAAACATCTGACATCCCCGAGGCCACAAAAAGCGCGGCAGGTCCGCAGCAATGTCAAGGTCATGTTGGTCATTTTCTTCGACTCCCGTGGGGTTGTGCATCATGAGTACGCACCACAAGGCCAAACCATCACAAAGGAATACTACCAGGAGGTTCCTTATCACCTTCGTGATGCTGTGCGGCGCAAATGACCAGATCTGTAGGCAGCAAAAACTTGGCAGCTCCATCATGATAATGCACCCGCCCATTCTGCGCATCTGATTCAGACTTTCGTGGCCAAACACAACATCCCTGTGGTTCGTCAGGCTCCCTACTCTCCCGACATGGCTCCGTGTGACTTTTGGCTATTTCCCAAGCTGAAAATTCCGCTGAAAGGAACCCGATTTGAGTCAAGAGAAGACATCATGCGGAATGTGACGGCCCGGCCGATCACCATTCTGCAAGACGCATTCCAGAAGTGTTTCCAACAATGGCGGAAGCGCTGGGAGAAGTGCATGCATTACCAAGGAGACTACTTGGAAGGGGATTAGGGTTTTATACCTCCAAATCAATAAATGTATTTCTGCCGACCAAAGGTTCTATACTTTTTGAACACACCACGTATATACTATTAAAATATAAAGAAATGGTTATGAAATAAATTCAGCTGTGTAACAGTGGCAGTTTATAAAATGTTAGACCTACCTGGTGTATATGGATCCCTCTGACAAACATCTGAGTTATGCCCTCAAGATTCTCAATTTAATGTAATGGGACACTCTGATTTATGTTTTATTGCAGAGCTTCATGACATAATCCTGGACCACATCCGTAATCTGTTTATGACTTCTAGCATTGAAGTGAAATGTTCCATTATTGGCATGCTTAACAAGTTTGTGGAGAACTTGGTAAGATTTTAATGTCTGTGAAAATCATTCATTTTTATATATTGAGTAGCAAAATGTTTCCAAAACAGACACACACATCTACACCCTCAATCATAGTAATGTAGTTCATTTTAAAGCTTGGGCAGGGAAAGGATGTGAATTGGATGCATAGATTCCCTAACATATATTCTTTAATAAATTTGACATGATTTATAAAGAAGTAAGTGAGGACATATCTTACAGAAATAACATTTTGCTTTCTTAAGTCCAGTCTTAGAACAGCAGTGGAATTGTACTTTTGTTCAAGTTTTCTGTTCCAGATACACTCAGATGTGTGTCTATTTAACTATTCTTTTCAACTGCACATGTTTTGTGATATCAAATGGGAAGATTACTCAGATCAATCACTTAAGAGTGATGTATAAGTGGCAATGGCCTATTTTAAGCTGCCATCCCAGCTCTTTTTTTAAGCACAGGAAATTCTCAGAATTCCTCAGGATAACTGGCATCTGGATGAGGACTCTGATATGAAACATGGGTGCTAACCATTCAGTTGTGACATTTTACTTAATGGTGTCTGATTGGTTACAAGTGTTATTATAGTGAAATTCAGTTCTAAACTTTTGCTTAATATTTTCATAATTTCTGAGAGTCAGTACAATTTGATATTATCAGCCTGTATGATGTAATAGCAAGCCTGACTTTTGGTTACTGAAATACCAAAGAGTAACTGCATGGGTGACTCCTTGACCTTTTTAAGATAGCCTCACTCTTGGTACCATCTAAATACAGTCTGAGCCAAGTAGGACACAAGAGATTAGTTGAAATAAAATAAACTGTTTTTCATTACATAATTTCGGTCAGGAATCACCAAAGGAAGAAATTACTTGGAAGACCTAGGCATAGATGGGAGGGCACTATCAAAATGAGTCTTAGAGAAATATGATGTGAATTTGTGAAGTAGATTCAACAGTCTGACGGTAGGACCCAGTGGTGGTCTATTGTGACCATACGAATAAAATAAAACTGGGTTTGTTAAAAGAAGTAATTTCTTTGCTACCTGAGCAATTATTTACTTCTAAAGGAAAATTCTGCATCATGGAATTAGTTCTGTTACATTATTACTGTTGTGAATATTTTTCATATTTAGTATGTCTCCAGCTCTTGTGATTCAGCAGCCTTATATTCTTTTGTTTTAATTCTTGGCTGAATTACCAGCTACATTTAGAATTTTCATTACTTTTTCCTGTCACAGCTAATGCTGGGATAGTACTTTCAAATTGTGGTAGTGGGACTAGATTCTGGTACAGTACTCACCCAATGCTCACAGTCTTAATAGTATTTAGTTATGGAGTTCATGAGAAGAATTGTGTTAATCAGTTATGAAATCTGCGAAAACTTTTTTATTTACTATAATAAGGATATTTGTTTGATTCTTCTGTAATTATTCCATTTTGTAAGTGAACAATGTAACACATGTTTTACAGATCTGTATATGCTTGTTCCGAAAAGAAAAGGAAATATCTGGCTTGTTTCTGGAAATCAGAGATGAATGGAGTGAACTTGAGACACTACAGAATATAATTAAGTTTGTAACAGACCTCTGTGTGGCTGGACTGACTGTGGAACAGGGAAGTTACTTGCTTCTGCATGAAGCTCTTAGGTTCTTTGAAATGGTGAGAACATTAAAATATGAGATGACTGATTATTTTCATTTACGAAAGAGAAAACAGTTTAGTATAACAGAATACATCTACTGTACAGGAGTTCACAGAATTTTGAAGTTGAGGCTATTCATGTCTAGAGACATGTTGCTATATCTGCAGATAGCATCAGTTCACAATCAGTCTGTATAGTAAATCATGTAATATATAGGTATATGCAAAAATGACTTTTTCAGTTTGAGAAAGACCTCAGAAATACTTTGAGAACTGTGATGAGAGTAAACATTTTCTCAGAAAAATTATTTTTCACAATTACAATTTATAACACTAGCCCTTTTTCAAAGTTCATCAAAGTGTACTACCATATTTATCTAATGGAAGATGGTTCTGAATGTAAGACATCCATACACTGAGACACATCTCTACACAGAATGTCATTTTATGAATTAATTTCATACTCTTGCTACAAACCAATGAAAGAAAATAATATTTTGAAACATGTCATACATGACATTGAGTTAGTTTTAGCAGATGACAGGAAGTAGTGATTTCAGAGTCAACCTTTATTTTTGTATGTCATAGAAATTGTGGATAAATATCCTTATGACTTCACCAGAATACCTACAGCTGCAGCTATCTTTTTCTTCCTTGATTTTCTGGGTATTGGGAAGGAAAATATTGCTCCTTTTTTAACATCCTTTTCTTCTTTCCTGATTCTTGCTTGTGTTCACTTTGAAATCCCGGTGGCAGCCAATACTCTTGCACAAACACATTTCAGTGGAATTGCTGTTCATTCTTTGTCCTTTCTGACATGAACTTCCATATATTATTTCACATCCTTGGCTGTGGATAACTTTGTGGTTCCATATCTTATACATTGTGATAGTTCTGAATGAGTACTCCAGTAAGAACAGTGTTTTTGTTTGAGTGATAGCTAGCAACACAAATGAACTGCTTGTAGCCAACTACCTGATACCTCTCTTGTACGGGGTGTCAGTGAGTTTAAGTAGATGGACCCAAATCTGTTCTTCATGCAGGTGTATCAAGTCTCCCACTAACACTTAGATGTGCACTTTTTTTTTACCCCATACTCTACGTGGAATTAAAATGTAATAAACACAACCAAAATGAAAACAGTAAAACGATATAAGACAGACAGATGAGGAAGTATTGGAGAAACAAGGGGGAAAAAGAATACTAGACTGTGTACAGTGCTACCACATGTGTGGCAGACTGTATATTCATGTTTTCTGTGATGAGTAACTAATTGTTCACACTTGTTCTTTCATGTATAAGCAGCATTGAACAGAAGTATACCGTATACGTAAGTTTTATAATATACTTGAAATCCTATATCTAATTGGAGATAGGTCTGTGCCTTCCACCATTCCCTGGCTAATGACAGGTGCAAGTGCCACAACAGCACATTAACTAAGGAGCAGGTTCCAAGCCTAGATCTGCCCTTACAGATACACTTTTTCCTGCACAATTAAAATAATAGATTGTCATGTTTTGTTGTTATGTGGCAACACAGCAGAACAGTTCTGGACAGAGCAGTCAAGTTTGTGGAACCAAAGATCTTATGGTTCCTGGTTGCTGTGTTTTTGTCCCATAGCTGGAAATGATCTATGGAAGGGAAAGTTTGAGGCAGACTGACTGACAAAATGTAGGACAGGTTATAGTACTTACTGGGACAAGAATGGGGTACAGTGGAGTTGCATAATACACACATTTAAGTTGCACGAATGAAACCCTGTGCTCTTACCAAAAGTAAACAAATAATTAAAATAAACAATGCGGGTTATTCCGCTTGCCATGCCACTCAGTGAAAACTAATCATCAGAATATTCAGTATGAATGGTGGCTGATGTGGTTCACTGTTTTCCTTGCTTATTCTTCATGTCTCTGTTTTTTATATAGTTAAAAATAAAATTAATCTACATTTCACTTGTATATGTACTCTTTGTTATACACATCATATACATATTACAGGGTATATACAAAAGCATGTACTTTATTGGTGATTTAAGGGATTTTCAAGGGTGATTCTGACTGTACATAATTTTGGTAATATGTGGCATCATTAGAACATAATCCCTGCATGAACTGTATCTCCACTGTAGTCACATTCTTTGCATTAGAAGTGGAGGCAAAGACTTATGTATTAACACTGAATGCAGGAAAATAGTCTGTATTTTTTAAATTTTTTGAATGCGTGAACAAAAACTGCAAACATCCCATCTCACTACCACTAACAGGCTCTGGGGTGGGGTGCTTGGTGGTGGCAGATATTAATTTTATGACCTTTAGCAAATGTTACTTTCTTAACTTTAACATATTCCTCGTCATTGAGAACTGGGGCTTCTTATTGAGGGTATAGCATTCAGAGTGATGAAGATTATTGCTCATCTCTGTCTAGTGCCAAAATCTAGAATGTGTGAAGTTCGATCACGTCCCTGTACATCTGAATGGCATCTCTTTAGGATACATAGTACGGAGAAGTACTGTAATTAGAAAAGTTAATAGTAATAGCAATAGCAACAGTAATTGTAGATGTTGATTAAGATGCGAATTTTAGGACTCCACACATTCACTGTGTGAGAAACTTGAATGGCCCTTCTTCAATTTAAGTCTAATGCGTGTTCTAATGTCTTCAGAGCACCAAGTAGCGTGTGGGATATATGTGAATGAAATGTTAGTGATGCTATTTCTCTGCCTTTTGTATATTTGGAAGGTGTGTACAGTATGTTCAGTTAGTTGGAATAATTGATAGCTATTTAATAATTTTATATAAGAATTTTATTTTTTAAGTACATGAACACTTTGAAGTATGATATATTAGCCAATATCTAATAGTCCTTGACTGAGGTGGTATACAGTGTCCAGATTAAATACTCCCATGTCAGTGTTTAATTTATTGTTATTTTTAATTTTGCATTATATTCCACATTTTGGCATTTATATATATATATTGATTAATTATACATGACACAAGTTTCATAGTCTCTTGTTTTGTGTATATTCTATCTGGAATACTCCTTTCATCATGCTCTTGACAAAACTATTTCACAGGCAACATGCTTAGAAGAAGAAAATAAACTCCCAATATGGACCATGATGCCCCCAGCTGTTGTGTATAATGGTCTGTTTTCAAGAAGTGCTTGCTTTCTTGCAAGAGTATGTGATTTGTTGCTGAAATACGATATGGCTCAGTATCCACGGCTTAGGGCATTGGGTCTGAGAACAAAGTTCTTAAAAGAAGTGAATCGTCAGCAGCTGTACATAGCAGACTTCATGAGCTCCCTCTGGAATCAGAATGTAAGCAGTTTATTTTAACTGGAGATGTGGGAAGTAGTCTAATATTTTGCAGTCCAATGTTTATCTAATATATTCTGGCATTTGTTATTTTTATGAATAACAGATTGACTTAAATGATTATGTGAACTATATTTCAGTACTTGCACACTGTCTAGAAAGTGAATATATTTGAAGAATTTGAATACAGTATGAAATCTTCACAAAATCTTGCACTTGTTTTATGGATAATTTATTGTATAGGGATTTTTTGTATTTTTTAATTAGTTTGTTACGATTATGTAAACACAGTTTCCTGTATTATTTGTGCATGACTTTTAGACACAAATTGCTACTCATATCATTTGTTCCAAATCCTTGGATACTTGCAGGTATGAAGCTTTAGTATTTGTTTCACCAACAAATGCACATGGCAGCATCACAAACCTCTGAAATGTTGATGGTGATGTATGCTTATCCAGAGTGTATGTACAATTTCCCCTTGCCTTCCCCTCACCACTCAAGGACCCAGTTACTGATGACATCTAACACTAGCACCCTAAAATAAAACAGAAATTCCTTTTCAGGCAGGTCATAAGTACATATATATTGAGAGTTAGAAGTCTTTTGATATAATTTCCCAAAGAATTTTATATATTTATCTTCATGTAGTGTTCTAATTCTCATTCCTCTCTGTTTATAATCATTTCATTTTAATTGTTTTCTTATTGAGAAATAAAATGTACTGCCTACTGAAAGTAATGATAAATTTTAAACTTTTAGTTATTTACTTACTTTTACTAGAATGCTTACCTCATCATGTTCATTGTTCATTGTTGTATGATAACAGCAACTTATTTATCAATAGTAGTTATATCCTACATAGGTAAATCAATAAGTAAGTTATAAATGGATATAGAACTTAAACAAATAAGAGTAGTGATTTGAAAAGTGCTTTTATTTCTCAACATAATCTTCCTGTATATTGAGGCACTAGTCCCATCATTTCACAAGCCCCTGAAAACCAGCAGCATAAAATGCTCACCACATTCCAGCCTCAAGGACAAACTGTAAATCCCAACTCCTACTGTAACATCCTCCGGAAACTTCGTAAGGCCTTCAACAGAAGTGACCAGGACTCCTCACCAAAGGCGTGTTGCTCTTGCATGACAACGTGCGTCCCTGTACTGCCAACAAGACAAATGAGATGCTGCGAAATTTCAAGTGGGAAGTCCTCGAACATTCTCCATATAGCCCCGACCTTTTTCCAAGTGACTTCTCTTTGTTCGACCCTCTTAAACATCATCTTTTGGCTGAACATTTTCCTGACAATGAAGCTGTAGAAAGGGAAGTTACCGCCTTGTTCTGACAGCAGCTGAAAGAATTTTATGCTGCTGGTTTTCAGGGGCTTGTGAAACAATGGAGCAAGTGCCTCAATGTACAGGGAGATTATGCTGAGAAATAAAAGCATTTTTCAAGTGAGTACTCTTAGTTGTTTAAGTTTTATATCCATTTGTAACTCACTTATTGACTTACCCTTGTACTTTAATCTTTTTTAATTGGCTGTTACCCAGTGACAAAAACCTCTGTATCTCATAGAGGGTGTATCACATCTAGATTGACATTGAAGAAAACCTTCTGGCAAGAATTACTAACTGCTGCACAGATTTAAATGGGTCATTATGAAGAAAGCGATCATATACCATGCGAGAACAGGCAGTTTTGCATGCGGTGGTGTATACGTGGTAGAGTCATTAAGTTCGTGGAATGTGGTTTTATCTCATCATATTACAAAGTATTCACATACACTTACCCAGATCCACATCAACCCTCAAAATAGTTGCTGTTGGCCGCTATTCAAGTCTGCCAACGTTGATATAGCTGTTGAAATACTGCTGAAACATATTGGCAGTAAATTCCCGTACGATGCTTTGCAGCCATTCCATGAACTTATTAACTGTGGTTGTACATACATTAGTGATGTTACTGTTTTTGGATACTATTTTAATGTTTGTTTCTTAACACTTTGCAGACCGCGCACCCTTTAAAAGGTTTTTCGCTTTTAAACATGGTGGACCGTTCGCGTGTTAACAGGTTTTTAAAACACGATAAGTTGCAACACACTATACATCTCTGTGGCTCCACCTAGCTAGCATGTAGCTGCTTGCAGCTGCGTTATAAGGCTCTGGAGTGTCTGCTGACGAATCAGTTACTAGACCTCACTGTAACTCTATGCCCCTGCAAAGGAAAATAAATGCCTTTATTTCTTCAAGCTTTATGTAGCAAGCTGTCAGTAGTTCAATATGGATCAAAGACCAAAGCGGTTGAGACCCAAGCGATTTTTTGGAGAACAAGAAATATCTGACTTCTTCTCCAATGAGCTATCTGACGTCCCTTGTGAGTCTGCTAGTGATAGCGACTCACAATCTGATAGTGAGTGTGGCAGGGGCAAACAAAAAATTGTGACCACAGACAGTGAAAGTGAAAGTGACCGTAGCTCCGAGGAATGTGTGGGTAGCAACATTGCGGGGACAGCGACATGGGGAAAAGTAGACAAAACGCTTGCTTTGGGACAGTTTACTGGAAATCCAGGGGTGAAGCAAATTCCATCGGACCCAACACAAGTGTTTGAAGTAGCAGAACTGTTTTTTGGAGATAGTTTCTTTGACATGCAATGTCAGGAAACTAACAGATACTATCTTCAACGCCGTGAACATTATGACAGAAGTTATAAGGCGTTGAAGTGGGTGGATGTCACCTCAGCAGAAATGAGAAAAATTTTTGCAATTCTCTTTCTAACGGGCCATAAAAGGAGAGATAATCTGAAAGAGTATTGGGCAACAGATCCATTTTTAGAAATTCCAATTTTCCGCAAACTAATGAGCTGTAAGAGATTTGAGCAAATTTGGTGGTGTTTGCATTTCAATGATAAAGAAACGGCAACCACAATCAACAAGAAGGCTTTTCAAAATTCAGCCCTTATTGAACTTTTTCATTCACAAATTTCAGACAGTTTATAAGCCAAACCAACAACTGTCTTTGGACGAATCTGTGATTCCTTGGAGGGGAAGGCTTCGTATGCGAACATATAATCCTGGGAAACTTACAAAGTATGGCCTACTTGTTCATGTAGTTACTGAAAACACTTCAAGCTATATTGGAAATTTAGAAATTTATTCTGGTGAAGGAAAGAAATTACAAGAAACTATTCTTTCCGTTTTGGAACCCTATCTTGATCAAAATTACCATGTCTATCAAGACAATTATTATAACAGTGTGGCAACTGCAGAACACCTATTTTTGAGAAAAGTACGTGTTTGTGGAACAATTAGGGTGAACAGAGGCCTTCCTCCAGATCTGAAAGAGGAATGTAAATCCCTGAAACGTGGTGAAACCACATTCAGGAGGAAGGGGGATATTCTTCTTCAGTCCTGGAGGGATACTCGTGTTGTGAATATGATTTCCACAATTCACAATTCGAGCATGGTTGATGTTCAAAGGAGACATGGACAGGTAAAGAAGCCTGTTTGTATTTCCGAGTATAATATGTTCATGAAGGGAGTTGATAGAGCCGATCAGTACTTGGCCTATTATTCTCTTCCTCAGAAAACAGTAAAGTGGACAAAGAAAGTTGCCTTGTGGCCTATAAATTGTGCCATTTTCAATTCATTTTTGGTTTTCAAAAATCTAAACCCTCATTCAAAATTGAAATACAAGGCATTTCTGCTGAATGTGGCAAAAGCCTGGGCTACAGACCACACGGTGGCGGCAGAACCGGCGGCAGACACAGTCTTCATACGACCGGGGCCGTCTACTCCCACCCCACGCAGGCCTCATTTTGACCCCCCTGGGCGGCTCTCAGGTGATATGCAGAAACATACCCTCGCGAAAATTGTGAAGAGTGAACATTTCAAGGGGAAGCAGCCTTCTAGGCAATGCCATGTTTGTGCAATTCGCAAGAAAAGGAGTAGGACTGCCTACATTTGCAAGTTTTGTGTAATGCCACTTCACAGAAGGGAATGTTTCGAGAAATATCACACCCTCAAGCACTTCTAGAAGCATTGGTAAGTGTTCTAAAAAAATGTTAGTTCATAAAATTAATTAGAAGATTTTATATTAATTTTTAAAATGAACAGTGCACAAGTTAGGGTAGTAGGTATAAAAATGCCTGTCCGCAGGGTGATTTAAATATTTAAATTGCCGGTCCGCAAAGTGTTAATACTTCAAAGAAATTTCTCTACTACTTGGAATATGCTTAACTTTTTCTTGCACTTAATTTTTCTGCTGTATATATAGAAGCCTAAGGCTTGCCATTCTTTTGTTAGTCTGTCATGTGCAAGTAAGAGTTGTTAGTAGTTAATGGATAAGAGTGCCTGAGGGCTTTGCAGTCTTGACCTCTGTTGAAAAGAAATTTCTTTTGCTGATAATATGCATGTCCATTGAAATAATGATTCACTCTGTAAGTGTAACTCAGCTGATATGTTATCCATAGAAACTGTAACTGTAGGTTGTAAACTGTTTAGTTTGAAGGTTCTTCCCATTTGTTGCATTTTAGATTTTGCAGATTAACATGAAGCTGCATGCTAAAACAAGAAAAGTCTATAAAATATGCCTGCGAAGAAATGGGGTGTATGATGGTAATGTTAATAACTATTAGTGGAATTTATAAAATGTCTGTCAGTGTTCATTTTATATCTGGTGGCCAAATGACTTTATTCAACTACTCTTGTAGTTCATGAGTGAAATAAATTAAAGAAAAAGATAAGTTAGATATTTTCAGTGTTGTTTGTTTTGTAGGCAGACATTGCTGAAAACACTGCCACTTGATTATTAGCAACACAGTGTACTGTTATTCTGTGAAGTTTAATATTTTAGTATAAATGTGACTGACTTCCTAAAATATATCAAGTTTTGAGGTTAGGTGTTTGACACAGTGTTTACATGTAACAGTTTTCATTTTAATTGCCAGTTGTCTCTGTGCTAGTGTCAAATTAATTAAGTGAAAATTTACCAGATCCTGATAGAGTCTCTCTGTAATTTTATCATGAATTTTTCCTTGTGATGAAATTTCACCACCCGAATAACATGGAACACTTTGGCTTTCTTCAGAATGTTGATATTATATTTTAGAAATATTTCTTGCATGTGTCTAATTAGAATGATCAAACAGTGCATTTAGCGCACATGAGAGAAAAGAGGAGTGTATACACAGTTTTAGTAGGAAGACCTGAAGGAATGAGAGTACTAGGAAGACCTAGATGTAGATGGGATTATCTAAAGAGAACTAGGAGGGTTTGGTCTGGATTCATCTGGCTGAGAATAGAGACCAATGGCAGGCTCTTGTGAAACTGTGAATATTCAGGTATCATAAAGTTCTGGGAAATTCTTGTTTGACTGAGCAGCTGTTCACTTCACAGGAAGGACTGAGCTCCATGGAGTTATTTAGTCTGTTTTCTTATTCCGTTCTCCTGATTAAACTGCTGTCCAGATTGATTTTTAAAACTGGCTTTGTTTGACTTCCGTGTCATTTATTGTCACCCTTTTCTAGCCTTCTTTGTACTCAATAGAATGCTATCTGGTTACACTGAAGTCCTGAGATTGCTTTTTCTGCTATCATTTTCTTTTTCACTACAGTGTTAGATATTAATGGTGAGAATGTACTTCCCTGGAGGTAGATGGGAGGACAATATTATGACAGAATATGGATTTTAAGAAACAGGGTGTGAAGGTGTATACTGTTTCTTATAACTCAAGATAGTGTCTAGTGGTGATGCATTCTTGTGAATGGAGTAATGAGACTTTGAATTTCCATAAAATGGCAAGAAATATTTTTGACTAGCTGAGTGATTATCAGCTGCTCAAGAACTCTGCTCCATGGAGTTAGTGAGTATATGTATCCAGTTTCATGGCTTAAAGTGTTGCAGTTTCTAATATGATGCATTTCAGATCAGAAATTGTCCAGAGACAAAAATGATTTACCTGACTGCAGACCCCTTGAATAGTGTATTTTCACACCTTACTGGTAGAAAGTACAGTTTTGTCAGTGAGAATTATGATGATGCAGATATCTTTACTCTTACAGTGTTTTGATGAAAAGGAAAGAGGCTACATATTTAAAGGTATGCCTGAATCTCATGTACAGTCATTTTTCTTCTACACTATACCAAATGAAGCACTGACTTTGAAGAATCACTTTGCCCTGGTGCCCTATGTGTTTCTGATGCAAAAGGCTTGCTCTGCTCTTCAAGATGCAGCATTTGATCAAGATGTAAGTACATTCAGAAATTAATGGTGATGGAGAACAGAAAAATGGACAGAGTTGTATTCCCTTATGTCTGAATTCTGAATTAAACCTTTCACAACTATCTTCATAAATTTACATGGGTAAGTTAAGTGCCTGAACAGTGAATGCTGAGTATATAGGTTTTCTGTTCTCCTCCCATCCCCATAAACTTACATGTTGAGAAATGAATATTTAGTTTCTATGCCAGAGCATTTAAAGAATATAAGAGCAAGAAGTGGTCCATTTGTTCACACTGAATATAAGTGAAAATAAAGAAGAATACAAGAAGTGTAGACATTCTCTTCAGATACTTGCAGTCATGGCTCCCTCTGATAAACATATGCATGTTGACACAGGAAGAAATCAAACACATTTTGGAGCATTCTAACTTGGAAGAATTACCAAGTGATGAATGTGATGAAGACTGTTTTTAGTGATGTGAAGAAAATGAAACTTAGGTTAGAAAGAACAAAAATGTTGGTAACAATGAGGCAGCTGATATTAAATTTTTTAGAAGGGTACCATTTTCAGGCAAAGGTAAAGTTGTCTCTGTGTTTAATTAAGCACTATATCATGAAGGCATATGGCAAGGTGGATTTATAGATCCATGTATTCTTGACCTTGGTGCTAGTTGGAGGTGAGTTGTCAGTTTCATGGTCTGGCTACGTGGCCCCAGAACTGGTCTGGACAAAGTAGAAAAGAGAAGAATCTTGTCCCTACCAGGACTTGCACTCCTACCCTTTGTCCATCCAGCCCATAGCCAGTCATTATACCAACTGCACTATCCTGGCTCATACCACATTAGGCAACAGACATATAATACACCTATGCAATATTTTTTGAGCACTCCTGAGCTATTTAGTGAACAGCTGCTGTGAAGTGAGCTGAAGCATTACAGGCAACCCCATGCATATTTCCCAATCCTCATATTGCTTTACTACTACTCAGCCTGTGCAGTAAGTAGTTATTGATGTTATTTCCTGCATCATATTTTATTTCTATGGTTTATATAACAATGCTGTCAAGAGGCCAGACTACCTAACATCACATTGTGGGAAGATTGGTGAACAATGAATTGGAAAGGGTGTGAAAGGAAGCTGATGTGGCCTAATTTGAGGTAATATCCAGCATTTGCTTAAAGGGGCAGAAAAATGAAAACCTCAGGCAGGTCAGTGGGTCTCTGGGCTGAGATTTGAGCCCAGTACCTCCAAAATATGAACCAGGAATACAACTCACTTGACATGCAGTTTTCCAGTATCAGAATGCCACACATGAGGCACACATTGAAACAGAAAATGTTCATATACAAGAACCTGTAGGAACCTCCCACAGTGCATAACAGACAACTCCCGCAGTGTACCGAAAGCAGGCGATATTTATACTCTACGGCTTGCAGCCTGGTTGTCTGTACCTCCACACCAGCGCTACCCAATAAGTGCTCATAACTGCAGCTCCACCACCAACTGGTCTGCGCGCCACCCAGCAGTAACGGTATAAAAATATGGGCCTCCAATAGGCTAGCATCAGTCACAACAGTCGCTGGCACATGCACTGTAGGCAGCTGACTCTGCGGGCACATGCACCATAGCTCAGCCAGGCAGCCAGACTCTCCGCTTCCCCATCAACTTGCAATCACTGAGCTGCAGCAAAGGAAGAACGTTGGGCTGCTGCAAGGAAGCACGCCACACTTGTTAGCTCGCTCCAATGGAGGCTAAACTAACGGCCCTTTTAAGGGCCTTCACTCAGCGCCGTCATCACTAGACCTGGCTAACCGCTACAAAAGGAGTCTCCACCGGTATTCTTGAGACATGCTCACCGCTCGTCTGTGATAGCCGTTTTAAGCGCAACAAACATTTGTTGTTATAGATTCAAGTGGTTGTCTCAGTGAACATCGACATCACACAAACCTATGGAGAAAGTGGTTATACAAGAAAAGTAGAAGATACCTTCATAAATTTCAGGATGTTGCAGTTCCACATAGAAGAAGTATCTGTAGAACTGTGAATAAATCAAGGCAGATGGTCATTAATGTACACAGGAACAAAATAGGAAGGCTGAGTGCTCACTGAAGAAACTGGATGCAAGCAGTGCTAGGCATGAACATTTTTCCCAGAATTTCCTCAGACACCCTGTATATGTGCCTGTGGTTTCAAAAACTTCAGTGCAGACTGCCACCAAACTTTGAAACAATCTGTTTAAGATGACAGTGGTGCATGAGTGCAGTCTGCTATCAGAGTCAATCTTTATAATTGGATCCTTCATTCTGATAATGATGGTGAATTGACCCTCACATGATTTTATTTTTCACGTATGTAGTACAGTAAGGTCAGAAACAGTAGATAATTAATGGAGTTCACACAATCCAAGACTTATACGTGACATGCTGCTACACAATTCTGAAATCAATGCAGTGTGAGTAGACAGAATGATTGGACTGATTTAATTTAAAGACAGGTCCTAAAGGTGTGTGGAGCATATACTGTGCTCACTTTTGTAGTTGCTAACAGATATTGGACAAAGGTGTACATCCTTTCGACAGGACTCCAGTACTGCTCATACAGCAAGAACATCCATGTAACATTCAAGAGAAGTGTTTGGGGACAGTCATTAGTAGTGGTTTGTGGCCATCATACTCCTCTGACTTTAACCCATCTGCCTTTTATTTGTTGGCATCCGTAAAGGAAAATGTTCAGATCAAACATTTACACAGGTGGAAATCTGAAGCGAATTTTACTAACTTTCCCAAAAGTTACTCAACACGTGAATGCAAGGAGTGTGTGAGGAACAGTGAAGAGCATTCCCAGCATTTTCTGTTATTTGGGTAGGTTTTATTTGTAACCTGTTAAGGCTGTAGTTATTTGCCCCACCAGCAATCAGAATCTCTACAGCCCAGAAGGAAGGAATGTCAGAATCTTCTGCCTTAGATGTTCAGCGGTTTACAAGATATTAGAAAAAATCTGATTTAACTAATTAAACATAGGGACAGCTTTATGTATGGAAGGACCTAAATATTTATTTGGCACAGACTTTGTTCATATCAGTCCATTGCAAACTTACTTTATGGGAATCTTGGATCAGACTATATGGCCTGTCTAGAAAAAACTGATATATGACAAAATCAAGGCCACATTATTGGATAAAAATTTTGTTTCGTGCATTTTTCAATATGGTTAATAAGTTTAAAAGAGGAGAAATCATTCCTGACTCTGTACAGTGTCATATATATATATATATGCAAAGCTATCATTATATATATGATTATATAATGATAGCTTTACAGCAGTATATTTGTTTGTTCAATAAGTGGCTAATGAGGCATGTAAAATAGCAAAGAACACATTTTGAGTATACCTTTCCTCATTTGTTTGCCCATACCAGTCAGTTTAAAGTGTAACTTCAACACTATCTGGACTAAACATTAAACTACTTTGAGTTATGTGATATGTCATTTGTGGAAGTTAAATTTGTTTTTCTGTTTTGTTTCAGGATCTGATGATAATCTGCAGCAATTATTTCCCAGAGATTTATAATTTAATCATCCATGAATCTGAGTGAGATTATTGGGTGGGTATGGTCTATTGTATTAATTTCATAGGGATATTACAAATACACTACATAGGATGAATATTAGTAGCTCATCATTTCAGCTGTCTGTGAAGTCATCTTTATATCCTCCTTCAACTTGACAACTGTGTATGTTAACGTGAGATTTATTCTGCCACTGCCCTGAGCTAATTTGCCCTATACATACTTCTAACATTCCAAGTACCAAATCTCATATCCATTTTCTTTCACTTAGGTCGATTATCCACGAAATCCATCCAGGTCTGAGGTTTGTTGCAAATTTTCTTAACAAGCTTATTTTACGGTGAGGAGTTGTCAGCCCCATGCCCAACCCCCAAGCTGGACAGCCACCCCTTGTCGGCTCCCCAAGACTGCTTATTCAATATTATATATACCTGGAGGGCATCTCCTCCATTCGCAACCTGAGGATCTGAAATGCCATGGTGACAAGGAAGCCACCCCAACATTAGAGACCTGTATAGAGGAATAAATGACTTTAAGAGGGGTTACCAACCTAGAAGTAACTTAGTGAAGGATGAGAATGGTGATCTGCTTGCAGATTCTGACAACATTTTGAATAGGTGGAGGAACTACTTCTCTCAGTTATTGGATGTAAATAGGCAGATAGAATTACATGCAGGTGAGCTGTTAGTACCTGATCCTAAGCCTTTTGAGGTTGAAAGTGCAATTGCAAAATTGAAAATATGTAAATCACCAGGTAGTGATCAAATTCTGGCTGAACTTATTCAAGCAGGAGGCGAAATATTATGTCCTAAGACCCATAAGCTAATTCTATTTGGCACAAGGAGAAATTGCCTGATCAATGGAAGGAGTCTATTATTGTACCAGTTCACAAGAAGGGTGATAAAACTGACTAGAAATTATTGGGGGATATCACTGCTATCAACTTCATACAAAATTTTATCCAATATTCTCTCAAGGTTAAGTTCATACATAGATGAAATTATTGTGGATCATCAGCATGGGTTTTGACATAACAGATCTACTACTGATCAGATTTTTTGCATTTATCAGATACTGGAGGAAAATGGGAGTACAATGAGACCTATTCGTAGACTTCAAGAAAGCCTATGATTCAGTTAGGAGGGAAGTTTTGTACAATAGTCTGGTAGAGTTTGGGGGTACTCACAAAACTAGTTAGGCTGATTAAAATGTGTTGAAACAAAATATACGGTAAAATCTGTATAGGTAAACATTTGTCTGATTATTTCCCTATCCAGAATCGTCTAAAACAAGGAGATGCTTTGTTGCCAAGGTCCATGCTGATGATGTGAATCTATTGGGTGATAATATAGATACAATAAAGAGAACCACACAAACATTAATTGACACAAGTAAGGAGGTTGGTCTAGAAGTAAATACAGAGAAAACTAAGTATATGTTGCTACGAGAGTCGTGCTGAAAGTCATGAGCAACAACTTTTTGTAAAGTAACATGCATTATTATTGACAAACCAAATACACCACCTCAATCTACAGACCTTTCTTTATTTTTCCACATATTCGCCACTTCTTTGTACACATGTCTCCGAGTGTTCTGGGAGTTTGAAAATTCCCCTTCTGTAAAATTCTGTTCCAGCCATCCGAAGACACTGACGCACTGCTTTCTGAATTACCTCCCTTGTCTCAAAACGTTGTCCACGCAGCTGATCCTTCACAAATCCATAAAGATGGTATTCGGAAGGTGCCAGATCAGGGCTATAGGAGGGGTGTGGAAGACCTTCCCACCCCATCTTTGCAATTGCTTCCAATGTGAGGCGAGCGGCGTGGGGGCAAGCGTTGTCATGCTGGATGATGATGTTTTGTCCTGGACGTTTATCACGCGTTGCACGATGGAGCTTGTGCAGCGTCTGGACATAACGAGCAGCATTGATGGTTTGCCCAGACTCCAAGAATTCGACCAGAATAAACCCCTCTGCATCCCAGAAGACTGTGCCCATCACCTTCGCAGCTGATGGCACTGTCTTTGTCTTCTTTTTTTGATGGAGAATGCAAATGGTGCCATTCCATACTCTGCCATTTCGTTTCAGGCTCAAAATGGTGAAACCAGCTTTTGTCACCTGTCACAATACAAAGCAAAAAATCATTGCCTTCATGTTGATATCTCTGCAGCAGTTTTGACATGATGGCTTGTCACTGACCTTTGTGGTCTTCGGTCAATAACCGCGGGACCTAATGAGCACAAAGTTTCCTATAGCCCAAGCTTTCGATCATCTCCTGTACTGCACTCTACCCTATTCCAAGTTTTCGCGCTCTTGTGTCCACAGTCATGCCTGTCATCTTGAATGATCTCATCCACTCTTTCCTTGTTAAGTTCAGTTGAGGCTGTTCAAGGACGACTGCTCCAAGGCTCATCCTCGATGCTGGTGTTCCCATCTTTAATATGTTTCACCCATCTTCAAACACTCCTCGCACCCATGCACACACTTCCATCAGCACGCTGAAGTCTCTGGTGAATTTCTGCAGCAGGGATTTCCTCTTTCACAAGAAATTCAATGACAGCAAGCTGGCGAAATGACATATCATTGTCGGCCATTTTGTTAGGAGTGATACTGGTCATGTGATGCAAGCCATTGACATCACAAGACACTCAAGGTTAACACAACAGCTGGTTCCACCTACCACCATACTCTCTTTCGTCTGCTGTTCCCAGGTTGCATGCAAAAAAAGTTGCTCATGACTTTCGGTACGACCTACGTATAAGCAGGACAAAATCATGACATAAAGATAGGAAACAGATGTTTTGAAAATGTGGCACAGTTCAGATATTTGGGGACAACGATAACAGATCAAAACCTGATTCAGGAGGAAATTTAGAGGAGATTGAACTCGGGTAATGCTTGCTGCCATTCAGTCCAGAATGTCTTGTCTTCTCGTCTGCTGTCCAAAAACATAAAAATTAGAATATACAAAACTATAATTTTGCCTGTGGTTCTGTATGGGTGTGAAACTTGATCTCTGATATTAAGGGAGGAATATAGACTGAAGATGTTTGAGAACAGGGTGTTGAGGAGAATATTTGGACCGAGCAGGGATGAAGTGACAGGAGGTTGGAGAAAACTGCATAATGAGGAGATTCATGAGTTGTACTCTTCATCAAGTGTAATTAGAATGATCAAGTCAGGGAGGATGAGAGGGACAGGGCAGGCAGCACAAATGGAAAGGGAATGCATATAGGATATTTGTGGGGAAACCAGATGGAAAAGACCACTAGGTGGGTGGGCGATATTAAAATGATTCAGAGAGACAGGATGGGATGGTATGGATTTAATTGATCTGGCTCAAGATAGAGACCAGTGGAGGACTCTTGTGAACATTGTAATGAACCTTCGGGTTCCATAAAATGCTGGGAAGTTCTTGAGTTGCTGCACAATTGGCGGCTTCTCAAGGAGGGTCCAGCTCCACGAGTGAGTGAGTGATATGTTAATCTTTTATCAGGCTTCATTCTTAAAATATGGTTACTTTCATATCTGCTAGCACTTAAGGTGTCTTTAGACTGGAAATTTTGTAGTTGTAAAGCAGTGCAGTTTCCCAAAGTTTTTGGTTATTGAAACATTTTTAGTTACAAAAACCAAAACAAGAGGACATAAAAAGTCAGAAACATCTTATGTGTTTATAATTTTGATGGAAATTGAGTTAGGTAATCCACAAAATGCCTGGGACTACCTCATGGGTACTTCTATAAATAAGACTGCCAGCAATATGGGATTTAGGAAGTAATAAAGATTTACAGCAATTGCACTCGAGAATTTCAGGTTTGTAGCCACTGCACTATAATGGAGTGAATAAAATATTTGCATATTTGTGCTGATAGCAATAAATTTATCCTCTTTTAAATGTATTCCCATTCTGACCACACTATTTTCACACTTCATGTTACAGTACAGGTTGACTCAAGTGGCCTGATTTGTGTTTAATACCTGTCCAGTTCAAATCTAAGCTGAGGTTCCAGCTATCTTTAGTTTTCCTCAGTTTATATAGATGCTGAAATAGCGGGTCCACCTAGGCCATGACTGCTACTTTCCAATACAGACTAAAAAGTAGCCTTTGATTCACTTAGAAAATATTCTACAACTTTTATTTAAGTTTGGTATATCCATGAGACTTATTAGGTTATCAAAGTATGTGTGAATGAAATTTGTAGTAAAGTTTCTGTAGATAAACATTTGTCATACACATTACCTGCTCTGAATAATTTGAAAGAAGAGGGTTCTATCTCCATTTCTTTTCAATTGCTTTAGAATATGCTGTTAGGGAAGTTGTTAAAGAATGATAAGGGGTTGGAACTGAGCAGAAGGTTGATGATGACATTAATTTATTAGTTGTAAACATAAATACTAAGAAGACCATAGATTGCCATCTTCTGGGATGTGCTGAGGAGTGTGGTAGATTGTTACCAATGTTTTGGAGGAACATGCTACCTTCATCTTAAGGGTAGCAGAAGGTGGATTTAACATGTGCCTCCAAAACGTTGGTAACAGTCTACCAGACTAGCATGTCATCTCAGAAGACAGTAATGTTCACATTCCCCCTGAAAGAACCTTACATTTTTGCAAGAATGAAGAAAGTATTAAAAACCAGTAATGAGGTTGGTTTATAAGCAAGTCTTTAAACACCAAGTCTCACAACCAGAACACAGGACAAAATATTACTGTTAAGATCATTAAGTGTTCCTTCGAAAATCTTGCATAGTTCAAGCATTAAGGAAAGAGAGTAATGAATAAAAATTATCTTGATGAACTGAAGAGAACATTAAAGAAAGTCAGAACTCTCTAGAATGGATATAAGTATAGTCCAGTAATTAATATAGGCCTCAGACTTAAAAATTATTGCCCCTCCTGTTTACTTAATGAAATCTGAATCATAACTAGTCACAGTCAAGTCTGTCTTTTAGCCAAATCACCAGCATTTATACAGAGATTCAGCTCTGACTTGCATCCACTTAAGTTTTCAGTCCGTTAAACAAGCAAGATGATCCAAAATGTGAACAGAATTTTCGAGATTTGAATGACAAGATAATGGCAATCTAGCCAAGTTCTGATTGACTTGTATGCTGTATCATATGTCACATTCTGCAAAGAACATGTTCGTAACACATAAGGTACAAGTCTTGACTCTTTGACATTTACAGTGTAACAGTCCCTATTCATGACATTACAGAACTGATGAAAATGATGGGTAATTGTTGGATATTGCAATTTTCTACATGGTGATGAAGAAACTTAGGTCTCCATGCTTTGATTCTTATGGTCTTTTGAGCAACGGTTATAAATCTCCCAGTCATATTCCACCTAAATTAAGATGTCTCATTCACCACATTTCTGCTCAATGCCAGATTTAAGGAGGAGTGACTGGGTCTCGCAGAAGATGACCAGAATCCATGGATTCTATTGAGGCATTTGCTTCTCTGAAATAATGAAAATTTAGTTCACATTTTTCATTATAAAAATAAACAAAATAACCGTAACTTAAATTTGTTGTTACAAATACTCCCCCCCCCCCCAAATGTAAATCTGACCCGACGTCTCTTCCACATTGTCCGTCCTTTCAAGGTTCCTTTTTCAACGTTGTTCCTGGTTCAAATTTTCCGTCGTCTATGTTTCACCATCGGTCCTTTATGACTGTGTCCCTAATGCTGTGCTGCTCCTGCATGGTATACATCTCGCTAGGCAAACAATGTCAACCCCATCATATAAGTCTAACATATTTTGAAGAAGAGACCTAAATTCAATCTTGATCGCTGATCAGAACCGAAATTCAATACCAGGAAACCACAAATCAATAAGCCTTCTTCGAAGCCTGGCCTGATGCTTTAGGATGCATTGCGAAACAGAAAACCAGTCCAGTGAAACAAACAATTCCATCTAAAACCACAAAATCACCAAAAACAGGTGCCTTCGAATCTAACAGTCATCATTCCTCTATCAGAAATAATTTGAATTACCAATTGAACCAATTCAGGCAGAATGCAACACACCTGACCTGACATATCCAATTCCATCTGCATAATCCTCTGCAGCCATCTACTTACAGCATTCACTCTGGTCGCATATCTTACCAGTTACGATAAATCTTTTTTTCCCGTGCATCCTGTTGTGTTATAATGCACAAATTCTTTATTAAAACCGTCAGAACACAACAATATTAAGGTCAGTGTCTAGTTTGGTTCTGTTACAAGTTTCGGCTATTAATAGCCATCATCAGGCAAATACATGGCTACCATATATACACCACTGAACTGCAGTAGTAATAAAATTGGATACAATAATATTAATTATATTACAATACTTGACGTAAATATACGATAGATTATATAAGACAAAAGTTATAATATAAAACAATAAAATTCTTCGAGTGATGTTTTACATCATCGAGTCAGACATTGGATTTTATAATTTTGTTGTGTTCCCACGGACAAATATAGAATAGTCCAATTTGTCCGTGGGAACAACAAAATCACAAAAACCGACTGACTCGATGATGTAAAACATCACTTGAATTTTATTCCTGTTTTATATAATCTAATTTATTGTATTTTTATGCCAAGTATTTTAATATAATTATTATTATGTCCAATTTTATTAGTACTGCAGTTCAGTGGTGTATATATGTTAGCCATGTATTTGACTGATGATGGCTATTAGTAGCTGAAACATGCAACAGAGCCAAACTAAGCACTGACCTTAATATTGTTGTGGTGTGACGGTTTTTATAAAGAAATTGTGTAGGATACATCTTATTTGCCTGACCCAATCACTGAACCCCTAACAGAACAGGTGTCTGAAATTTGATTTTCGGAGTCACCTACAAATAATTTAAAAGTTATGGTGATGCGTGCGGTAGCATAGTTGGCTGAGGCACTACATTGAAAGTCGGAAGGTCGCGGGTTCGATTCTCGATTAAGTTAATGGACTTTTCACTTGCATCCGCACTATGGCCCTAGGGTCAACTCATCTTCTTAGAGAAATTAGTAATAGGGATCCCCCTGGGGGTAAAAGGGGTCCAGCACGTAATTCTGACCTCACCGCCATCTGTGAGCCGATTGTCCTGAAAATGTGGGAGACCCAACGTCTCACAACTCTATGGGCCTCCACTGTCTGTTACAGGGATAGCTTTACTTTTATTTCATTCAATGTCAATCTTGTAAATATGAATATATTCTAAAAGTGGATTAATAACTTCTACAGTACGTGCGATTATGGTGGCAAAATTATTTACTGCTGTTCTGTGAACCCCGGATTCGGGGTCTAGTACGCATGGGGTAGTACCATAGATATTGAAGTAGGGAAAGTAGTGGTATAGTAGTTAACTTTCTTACTGACAGATCTCGGCAGTGGCTGCAGCCATGTGACAACAATATCATGAAGCAGGGGAATAGATGGCAGCATAATGAATTTTTGTCGTCACGATGGGGATTATCGCCTGGCAACGACATTGATATGCACAGCTGTTCCCGCTGTTCCACATTTGTCTGTGGTAAGAAATATGGCTGCTGAGATAAAGCCTGCAACAGCGTCCAGTAGTGATAAATTTAGTTCTACAAAGAAACCAGTTCTTCTATCGAAACTAGAAGGATGTAATGATGATGTAAATGCTGCTATTATAATACCGGGTGAAGACGGCGTAATCAGTGTTTGTGATGACCGGTAAGCTGTTAACTGCAATCATTCCAATGTCAGTACTTGAGTTTCGGCGTTGTTAGACTTTCGTTTGTAAACTGTGACAGTTGTTGAAATAATGTATAAAGGCTATTTAAATCAGTTATACCATTAAAGTAAATCCAGTATTATGCACATTTGCCGCCCGAATTCTAAATCGTCGGCTCTGACCACTGACGGACTCAAAACTGGAGAGCAGCTTAGCAGCTTTACATCTTCTGCTTGAACTTGGAAGAGCATGAGACACCAAGTCTTATGTTCTGGCTTACATCAGGCTGCATGCGTTTAAAACGTTCCTGACATTGCCAGATGTGAAGTAATACATTTCAGTGATATACGAATGTTGAAAAAAAAATATTCTGCTATATTTCCCATGACATTAACATATGATATAAATCTGTATGCTTTTCTTTATCTCATTTTTGATGGTGGGGAGAGGTACACACCTGGTGTTAACACTAAGCAATTCCAGACTGCAGATTAACTGTGACCCTATAAAATGTTAGAAACTCTTACATTCTTCTTTGACATGCTTTAGTTAGTCACAGAAATCCTTAATTTCCTTTGTGAACTACTCTTTATACTAAGCATTTCAAAATCTTGAGAATGCTACATCCTAGCGACCACAGTCAACATCTAGCTGATACAGGGTTGAAATAGCTGTGTGTTCAAGGCTAAACAAAGTAGTGAAAATGTACAGGCCTGTCGGTCAGAATGTGTTAAACAGTTTTGTTATTTGGGGTAACAAGTAAATTAGTGTTCTGTAAAGTGAAAATGAATGTATGAAAGAGCATTTGTCTACACAACAAAAGGATACACTTCTTGAGCATTCTTGCTTGTAATATCATGGTCCATCTTCTTGCTCTTAATTTGGACATTCAAAAGTATAGTGTTCCTGTTGTAACATCATAATAGGTCTGTATGCTTACAGGAGTATGTACCATACATTCATGGATTGGGGGGGGGGAATGCTGCTGCAACCCATTAATGGTCAGTCATATATTTAGGGCAGTGAATTGTTTACTTTTGATGAGGCAGTTTTTTGTTTTTATAATAATTGATGTATTATTTTAATTATGGGGCACACAGTAGCGTAGCATATTTGAGGCACAGTGCTACAAGCCAGAAGGTTGCGGGTTTGATTCCCAATGTCATTGGATATTTCAATTTACCTAAGCCTTTAAGCCACACTGTGGCCCTGGGGTTGCCTCAACCTCAAAAATAAATACCAGGTACCTTCCTGGGGAGTAAAGGGCATCCGATTGTGTAGAAAATGTGGGAGCTTCAGTGTCTCACAACCCTATGGGCCTTCACAACCTGTTACAGGGATAGCTTTACCGTTAGTATTTAATTATTGAATTTAAATTACTAGAATAAATTTCTGTTGTTCTAATTCTTGTTGGCTAATAAAATATATGTGAAGACTGCTAGTTCACTCTTTGTCTTTTGGAAAGCATGCTGTTCTCTTGTATGTATTTGTACTCACTGTGTTAAAGGTGTATATTGTAATGCTGTTATGGCTGTTTAACACATCTGTCATTATGAGAATGTTCTTTACATTTCTATCCAGCCTTCGGAACAACTGAAAAATGGTGCAAGGGAGTCAAATGGCAGTCAGTTTAATGCAGGAGAAATATCTTTGTGAGGTGGAATGATAGCAAATGTATAACAGTCTGTACAGTTTGCACAATTTAAGATGCTCATCCTTTAGGCATCTTGTATCAACTACCTTTAGCTTCACATTTTTCTGGAGAGTACTGCTGAAGATAAATATTTGTTGTTTATGTATGTTGTAATGGGCAATTTTATATATACAAGGGCAGAATCATGGGAATTGGCTGTTTTATGTCCATGATTTATTTTATCCGTCTTCTAGTGCATACATTTATTTATCCCCTCTTTTCACTCTCACTACATGTTTCGGCACCAATGTGCCATCTTCAGGTGCTGTTTTATAGTTTACTATTTTCGTAACTTATCCAGTGTCCTGGTTATAGCAGGGATTTTCGGGGTCAATGAGTACATGAAAAAGTAACCATGTTATTGATGTTTCGGACAACATTTTACAATAATTTCTCTGCAAAGCTTTATTTAAAATAATTTAGTTGGACCTTAATATGTTACATATGTGGAAGATGATGTAATATGTATAAATGTGCATTTCAGCTCTGGTAAGTTTAATCATAGAAAGGCATTTTTTGCCTCACCGCATGTTGGACACTGATATTTCCTGGCTCCTGCTGTACACCTCTTCAGTTTCCACACACCTCTCTTCAGGATGACATCCCTTTTATTCCTTCTCTCTTGCAGCATCCAAGATATCTTTCTCTTCCCTGTTTCTTTGTAGTATTAATATAATTACATCTATTTTTAAAGTTTCACCACACTTCCTCTCGTTTCTTAAATTTTTCCCTCAATATTAGGAAAGCGTAATCTAATGCCTAATTCAGCTTCTACTCCTCCCAGTTGTCACACTTTTGATTACTCATTTGATAACTTTTACAATTTGTGAATATTTTTAAGTTATCCAGGAATAGGATACATTACAGATACATGAAGATTCTTATAATAATCGTACATTTTCTGTTAGTCTACCTAATTCTCTGCAGCAGTGGCATTAGCTGTGCATCTGAGGTCACCAAAAATTTTGTTTCAGACTTCCCAAAATAATGTGTTGTATTTTTAGGACTGTTCGAGTATGGTTGAAGCGTGATTCAGGCCAATATTGGCCCAGTATTTGTCACTACATGGCAGCTGGAGCTACTGCTTTGTTCTACTGTGTTGAAACTCGTCAGTTGTTCATTGGAATTGAAAACGGCACAGTGTCGGTAGGTGCTTTCATAATCTGCCCATATTGTGTGTGATGAAAGTGAGTAAGATTTTTGCTAGATGTTTTAACCAGTAAAAGAAACAATGAGATTACAAGTTTGGGAGAAGATCCAATATTAATTGCTATAGCTACATGTAAGAAGTTATTTTCCTTTACCATCATTTTATGGTATCTCTAATCAGCATATTATTAAGTATTGCATTTAAATTAATGGAACATTCATTTTAATTTAACACATTTTTACTTGATAAATACAACCTTTTTATAAAACAAGCTGTTGTTATAGTACAGGGCTATGTAATTTTTTTGTGCGCGTTTCATTCTTATGAAGTTTTTAACAAATTCTAGGTGTTAGGTTACAAGATGCTTGGAAATTACATTGTGGAAATTGTTTGTTCTGTGAGCATGTCCTTATTTAATGTAAATAAGTGAACACCAGATATCTTGTTGCCTGTAGATAAGAAGTGGATTCTTGTTCTTAGTGGTTGTGTTGTCAGGGACTGCTTTCTGAACTTTGATTTCGGTATAGCATAAATATAGCCTATTTATCAACAACTTGTGACAGAGGGTTGTTTTTAGCTGGTCCTTTTGGAAAAATGTTTCTTTAGGATGTTACTTTATCCCAAGTTCACTTTATAATATTATATGAGCAAGGCTCTATATCTGATCAAATCCTTACGTAATTCTGTTAGTTTACAGGTATTAAGAAATGTATATTTTACTAAATTTGAATCCATATTTAAGTATGGTATTGTGTTTTGGGGTGGTGGAGGTAAAGAGATAGATACAGTTTTTAAAGTACAAAAAAATGCATAAGAGCCATTATGGGCGTTGATAATCGGGCATCCTGCAGAAGGCTGTTTGGTGAGTTAGAAATTTTAACTGTTACTTCTTTGTATATACTGGAGATTTTATGTTTTATCATAAAAAATAGAATCTATACAACTCTGAACTCTGATGTGCATAATTACAATACAAAGCATAAACATAATCTGTATGCCCAACATTGTAATACAAATCGTTGTAAGAGAAGTGTGATAAACATGGGCATAAAACTATACAATAATCTTCCTATGGAGTTAAAGAATGTATCTGATTTTAAAGTGTTTAGGAGGAAATTGAAGTGTTATTTGTTGCATAATGCCTTCTACTCTCTTCAGGAGTTTTTTATATGTAAGATGTTGAATTAAATGACTGTAATTGTCTGTTAATGCATGTGCTGGTGTTTTTTTTTATATAATATATTTAAGTATTTATGTATTCTTTGATTATGTTAGGTGTGATTGTTACTAAATCTCTATATTCCCTTTGACTTTATCTGATTGTATATTTTACAGTTATGGATGTAAATAAAATTATGAATTATGAATTAATTCATCACCTGCAGTTACTCATCTCTGCAGTGAAATGAGGGGTATTTAATTTGTTGTACATTTGACAGTTGTCCTTAATTACTATTTGAAGAAGCAATGAGTAGTTTTTTCAGTACAACTGAATTCAGACTTGGTTATGAATCGTGAGATTGTTTGTGGCCCATTTCTGGAGGTCATGGTGGAAGAGATACTGTGGTGATGAAGACTTTCATGTAGGAATGTTATAATACTTTCATGGGTATGCATTAAAAAATATGTTGAACCTCCCATGGTAAGCATAGAAATATATGTGATTGCCTTTGCTCTTGATTGGTATTCTGTTATCAATTATGTGGAAAAATAATTCAAAGAATTTAGGACTTCTGAAGGTATAAAATTTGGAACATTTTGAACTATTTAAAGAGTTTTAAAATAAAACACAAGCAGTTACTTATGGTTTCTATGGGAAAGGTTTGATTAATGTAAGAATGATGATGAAAATGCTTGGCAGTTTTATTAAGGATACATTCCAAGAAACAAAAATATACAGGTAAGTTCATACCTTTATTGACTGGTTAATGGTGACAGGTGCACTGCCAGCTGTGAGGTGAATATGAGTTTTTCGGTTGAATCAGTATATTCGATGGCTGATAACTTTTGTAATGAAGTAGTTATACTTCACAGATCGCAGGAGACGCTGAAAATGCTGTCTCTGTACATGCAGACATTCTCACACTGGTGAAAGAGGTTCAGATTTACTCTTTGAAGTTGTTCTGCAGAAATATATGCAATTTCTGTACAGATATTTTATTTTAGTTACTGTTCAGTGGTTAGTTTTGTAAACTTTGTCCTTCAAACAACCCCAAAAGAGAAAAGTGCTAGGATTCAGTTTGAGTGATGTCACCCACAAACGTACAGTGTGAGCAGTAGCTGAGTCTTGCTGAAACCAGCCATGCAGCTTTTCTTTTTCTGTTAACCCCAGAAAGAACTCCCGAGAATCACCTTCACATGTCTTTCACAATTAATTGTTTCATTAATAAAACACAGATCAAACAATCCTCCTTACACCTGCAGTGCACCAGACACAATCTTTTACTGGATGGAATGGGACTTCATGGGTTCGATGTGGATTCTGTGAAATCCAGTAGCAATTAATTTGTGCATTTATATATCCCTGTAAGTGAAACAATGCTTCATTAGAAAAGAATGTTAATTGTGGATTGATTTGACATTCAATAACAGATTGCCAAAACCGATTGCAAAAGTGAACCCTTGTAGCTGGATTGCCCAGCTGCAAGGCACGCATGGATTACTGTTGTTCTCTAGGGTGTGAGTTTCAGTAGTTCTGTTGCCCATCTTGCACTTGACATTACCACCCCAGTCTCTTGCACCAGACTTTTTATTGATTTTATATATGTATGTTGAAGTTTGGCTCCTGTATTATCCGTCTTCTATTCAGTCAGGACTTCATATTTATGGTTTTTGTTTCCTGTCTGTTAACAGTCCCTTTGATCTAAGTTTATTCACAAAATTGTGAATTGTTTGTTTGATGGGAACTCTTTTACTGGGAAATGTGTGTTAGAATTTTTGCTGACACTTTCTTGCAGATGTGTGTTTCACATATGTCATACAAAAATATGTATTGCCTTGAAGTATGTTGTCCCATGACATAACACAGTGCCACAAGTCCATAACAGCTGCTGGAGCTGATAACTGCTGACAAATCATAAATAGATATCCCCTGCACAAACCACATTGTTTGCTGTGAAACCATGAAGCAGTCCATAAAGTTAATGACTTCCCTGCACATTTGTATATCAGAATGATGTAAATGAGAAGGTTCTCAAAATAACATTAGATTCAACAGGAGCAAATTTAGACTAAATTTATTCCCCTACTAATAATATTGCCACTGTCTGCTGCAACTGTATGAAGAATGCATTGCAGTGAAGTGTTGTATTCATGAAAGGAAATATCATATTTCTTGCTCCATTGTAAAAGGTTATCATACTCTGACTTCTAGAAACTGATTTACAGGAATTTACTCTGGCACCAGACTTCAATCGTATGACACCTGTACGGAACTACCCCGCTCATCAGGCTCGAGTAACCAGCATTCATTTTGCCCTCATCTGTGAGTGGATGCTAAGCATTGGACAAGACAAAATATTTCAATATCATTGCTCTGAGACTGGCCGTCGCCTAGGAAGTTTCCAGAGTGAGGCGTGGTGTACTGCATTACAGTATCCTTTTAAAGTCACTTGAGGAGAATTTAAATACAGTGGAACCTCACTTAAATAGCATTATTCGTTCCAGAATCTTACTCATAATGCGAAACACTCGTTAAGCGAAACAATTTTTCCCATATAAATCAATGTAAAATATGATAAGGCATTCCATGCCGAAAAAAATACTCAAAAAATTTTATGTATAACGTTTATTCAAAGAAAATTATATATACATTGTTAAGGAGCGTGAATCATCTTCATCTTTTCTATTGTGCAGAATGAACCAACCTGGAATGAGAATTCGATTTGCAGAAAACAAAATAAAATCGTAATAATTAGTTTATTATTTATGATACATATCTAATTATTTTTTACTAGAAAGCTGTCTAGAGACATTTGTTTATGCCAACGCTTCAAAATTTGGTGAAAATGCGACACAGCATTATCATTAAATAAATTTGTAGCGTGCATAGCCACTGCCTTATTAGGGTGATGCTTCTGAATGTATGATGCGACAGTTTCCCATGCTTTCAGCATTTCTCTTATTATGCCAGAAGATTGTTGCTTTGCTGTTACCTCCTCCTCCTCCTCCTCTGACAAACTCTCCTCCACAACTTCTTGCAGTGAAACACAATGCAACTCCATAAGCTCTTCGGTGGTCAGCTCTTGGCTGCGCTCTTCCACAAGCTTATCGATATCATTGTTATCCACCTCCAGCCCCATGATCTTGGCCAAAGACACAATCTCGTTGACTACAGGCTCCACAGGTACTATTTCAAACCCCTCAAAGTCACATTCAACAGCGCTTTCCGGCTGTTGATGATCCTGGCGTCTTCTTAAGGAGGTCGGCGAAAATCACTTTCGCCTACTCACAAATGATGTTCTCGTTAATAGTGTCGCCTTGCAATTGCTTTTCGTTTATCCATACGAGGAGCAACCTTTCAACATCATCGAGAATATGTAACCGTAGCGTAGATATTCTTGTAACTCCCTTTGAAGCATCTATCTCCTTAATCTTGTCCTTGTTCTTGAGGACAGTGCAAATCGTTGATGTAGACCGATTGTATGTGCGTGCTAGATCAGCCACGCTCACACCTCGTTCTCGCTTTTCAATGATTTTACGTTTCATTTCAACGGTTATTCTTATTCTCTTATGGCTGTCTTTTTGCGGCTTTTTCTTTGGGGACATTTTTGCAAGGGTTATTAAACTTTGCACAAAAAATTCACAAATAATATGTCTGAACACAAGTTCGGAAAAATGCGTGATCACAAGTGACACTAAGATGCTAGCGGAACAAGTGCTAAACACAGACTGATGTAGCAAGCACACAATCCGGTACTTCCCCTCTCGTCACTTGTTAAGCGAGTCATTTTTTTTTTTCAATTTGTTTTGCTCGTTATGAGAGGTGCTCGTAAAGCGAGGTTCCACTGTACAGTATTTCTCCATTCTAACCAGAGGGCATTCCTTTTTAGTAACATAGCTAACTGAAGAAAGTTTGTACATGTCATGGATGTAAGGGATAAAGAGCATTTTTCTGGGAAAAGTGGTGATAAAGTTTTATGCATTTATTTGGTCATATTCCTCTAGCACATATTTCTTTAACTTGTGTGCAGGTTTGATTCACAGTCAAAGCATGCTTTCATTGGTGATTATTCTGGCCAGATCACAATGCTGAAGCTGGAAAATTCAGGGACAACATTGATTACAACACTGAAAGGTCATACAGGCAGTATACGTACCATGGCCTGGGACTCAGAGAAGCAGCTCCTTTTCTCAGGCAGTTTTGATCAGAGTGTTATTGTGTGGGACATAGGAGGTCAGCAAGGAACAGCATATGAACTTCAAGGACATCAGTAAATAGTTTCATAGTTTGATTATAAGTTTCTTGTGTAACAAACTCCAAGTTCACTCGTTGAAGTTGATCTTATTTTACACGTGACATCACACCACGTCCATTTTAATTTGTTTGAATTCTAAAATTGTCAGCAGTCTAATATTGTACCAGAACTTATTTTCTAATTGCTGGAATATCTTTGGCAGATTTCAAAATTAATTTATTTGAACATGTGATAAACCATGAGCACACATCTTATTTTTTTTTATATTTGTCTGTTACTTCTATTTATTTTATTATTTTTTTGGATATAATCCTGGGATTCAATCTGATATTGGGCATGAACAGGATTTAAAAAATGTCAGATGGAGGCCAAAAGTCCAGTGAATGAGATAGGACCTACAGTGTTCATTAGGAAAGCCCATTATCATACCTTCTTGACTAAAAGTTATCTGATAGTAGAAATATAATGTTGCTCTTATGGAAACAGTGTTGTAAGATATTAGCTGCAGAATCCAGGCTGTCGAGGTACAGTCAGACATCAAGTTACCTTGGCACATTTTGAAACAAGTCTTTCATTATTGTCAACCTGAGGTGGTAGATTGGTGTTATGCATAAAAGTGAAAATAAGCAATGTTATGTAACTACCCTGTAAAATCTATTGAAGGGAAATGTCAGTTTTTTTTCCTAACAGTGCATTAAATGTGTTTCACTAAATAGGTTAAAATGTTCTGTTTGTGTTTACATTGTTTGTCAGGTTCATTCAGAGTGTGTAGAAGATTAATCTAATATACGCATAGTTACAAGTGTTATGTAAGAGATTGTACAGACATGCATTTTCGTTATTTCAGAACAGTTTATTTAAAAAACTTGGCAGAGAATTCATACTGCATGCTATTTCGTGATACAAGCGAAGGTTATTTGGAAAGTAAGGATACAAAGTCCAGAAAATATTTGTAAAACAATCAAGTTCCTTCCGTCAAATGTGACACTTTTTTAAGTTTTCCACCTCGTCAGCACCTGCCTTACATGTTTCGGCTCACCACGGAGCCATCATCAGAGGCATTTATAGTAGAAAAAGAAATCACCAACACACAAAACTTCACTTTGTCCAAGATAGCCACGTTCCAGTTAATTAAAATAATTACAAATAGTTAAAATTACCCAGA